TTTGTGTTTTCTTTTTTGAAATTAGAGGAGTTTTTGAAGTCAATTGGTTCAAAATTTTTGCAACTCCCTCTATGAAATACTATCAATTTTGCTTTGAAAATTTGAAAAAAAGCCTAGACGCGCAAAAAAATTTTTTCTTGTCATAGTGAGCATAATCACATTGTTCTTTTTCCTCTGCAAAGTCCAAGAATTGAAATTTGATGCTAATTAAATTTTGATGCTTCAGCGCTTTGAATATCCTATCCCTAGCGTCTTTTCGGTTCACTGTTTTTGAGCTGTTGCTTTCATTACATGTGAAAACATTACAATCTTCAGTGAAAAAAAATTTTGAATCCACTGCGTGAGTTTTTAAGACTCAGGGCCACAATTTTGAAAATCGCAGCATAGTTTTTTGGTTTCAAAAAAACTTTGATGGTTATATCGTCTGTAGATTTTGTCCCAGCTGTTAAATAGATAGAAGATGAACGTTTGTCACAAACAGGCATTAGTCCATCGGCATTGTTTTCAGCCGGAGGTAAACCAAACAGACGATCACGTTTTTCAATCAAGTACGGTGTAAGGTATCAATTGTTGAAATTTTTGCTTCATGGAGTATGAGAAGAAAGTTAGTATTCTCATGTAAAATGAAGCGTTTTTTCAGATTAAAAAAGAATTTTACAGGATTCCCGAAACCGAACGCGTTTACTAAAGAATAAATCTGGTATTTTTGTCTTTTTTGCATGTGGTCATCAGTGGGTTCACCTTAGTAAAAGTTCCTTGTTATCAAGTTCGGGTTTCTTTTGCTAAAGAGAATTGACAATACATGCGGAGATTTTTCTCTAGACATTACTAAAAGAGGCAGGGTCATCAGTCGTTTTTTTCATTGAACATTTAGTTTCATTTGGAAAAGTTAGTGTAATCATGGAAGTCTACGCCCTGACATCATAGACACTTGACTAATTTCCATCGAGTTGGTCAACTTCGCCGAACAAGGCACATCGGAGAAATTCTGGGGCAGCAAATGCCATCGTCGAAATCTTTCAGATGTTTTTACAAGGCCAAACAATTTTTTTGTTTCATAGATTGCATCAAACTAACTATGGGTGGCAAAACTTACTTATTTTCAACAGAGACAACCGTGTCACACTGTAAGATCCTCCTTTTTACTAGTTACCGACATTCTGATATTAGATTTTGTTTTGCTGCTGAATCTGCTTCCATCGTGTCGCTATATGAATTAAATAATTCTGGGGTCTGAAATGAAAAGAAATTTGTTAGACATGCATATTGAAAAATTTGCTTTCTCCTTTGAGTTACGTACGAAACTACGAGTTTTTGTCTTTTCTGAAGAAACACCAATCCGCATGATATTTATTTTCTTGTTTTCCATGTAATTTAGAACTTGATAATTCATGTAGAGATGGAATATGAAAAGAAATTTCCACACCCTCCATATTTTGAACGATTGCATTCTCGAATTGTATGACCACTCACATAAAAGGTTTTACTGAGTAGAAATAGAATCATTGAATATGAAGCTGTCTTGTGATACTTTTCTGCTGTGATTATTTTAATTTGGCAGATTTGTGATTCTGACCCCAGAAAATTTTGGGTAGACATTATTGGGTCTTTTTGTTAAGAAACTTATTGGGAAAACAGTTTTGTCCAATAGTAGCAGTTCATGACATTTTATGCTTGTGTAACAGTCGCCTACTTCGGTCACATATGTGGTTAAATTAAAATAGGCCCTATAACCATTGGCTCAAGAGTCAGGGACACTATCTCTTGTGTTTTTCTACCTCGAACTGTCGGAGCCAATTCGGTTCGCTTGCGACATGAGACTAAAAACCCGTTACAGCTTAAAGGCCACCCCCCAAAATACCCCCTCACTCTAGAAAATAAGAACGTCCCCATACTTAGGTCTCAAAATACCCAAAATACACGGACGCCGTTAAAAACAGGGTCGGAACAATCCGCACAGTTACTTTTAATTAGACAGTGAAACTTTGATCCATTTCAGATGGATCAACCTAAAACTCTCCTTACCTCAACATAACAATCATGAAACACACTCAAGAAAATTAAATTGGGTACTCACATACCAGCACACTCGAGGTTTGAGATAACTAAATTAGTCAGTAACTCTAGCATTAAGTATAATAACTTGAGAAGTTTGCTATTGATGAATTCCAGCAAGGGAAATAAGTTTTAATTCGAGAATTAAAATTTTGGAATTGGATCATTGCGATACCCCAGCTGTCCACCTTTCCACTGAGGAGTCACTCTGGTTCAGTTCGAATAAATATGTTCTTCTTTTGTAATCGCTTCTTCTCCTATTTCAGGATAGGACAGCTCTACTCGCGTTCGATTTATATCTGGAAATTGCGAATAGCAATTTCCCGCTGCTTTTTTCAAGTATTTTCCCGCGATTGTAAATCGGCTGTTCTGATCTTCTATTTCTGAGATTTTCAATTCGAATTTTTGAAAAATTAAATTTCCTCCCAAAATTACGTAGTTCGTATTCCTCAATGTCAAACTTCCAAATATGACCGAATGGCACATTGAGATAAACTGTTCTGATTCTCGGGAAGCGGCAACTGTTGATTTTAGAGTTTTTTCTTTGTCTCTGTTAGTTAAAGATTTTTTTGAAATCGTGATGTTACCTGTAATTTTGATTGGAAATTGCTTGAGTATTTCAGAAGCGCAAGTTCTGTAGGTTTTTTCTGTTTAGCACGAGCACCCAAACTTTCTTTCGTGAATGGCGGTATTGGTTCACTTATCTGGATATTTTTACCTGTCTCTCTTTGTGATAGATTGACCATCATTGTTGATTTGAAACCGATTTTTTGGTTTCGTTCAGGATTTGAATCCATCAGAACTTCATTTCCCATAGGCATTTCTGAGTCTCGAAACTGTTCATCTGTCATTGTTTTTCTTTGAAGACACTTAAATCGATTCATTAAGCTTTATCCTTTTCACTTTACCATCTGTTGAATATCGCTTTAATTTTTTTTGATTCTATAGATTCATTTTGGTTTCTTAAATTTTGTACAAAATTTTCTTCGTCAAAAATCAAACAGAAGAAGTCAGCTTTTTTCAACATGTACATCAAATAAACCACATTTATCGAAAACAACTCATTGAGTTAGTAACATAATCGTTGACACAAGAAACTGGTTGTAAATTGTTAAGAGCTCGTCTAAATGGTTTCTGAACTTATTTTCTCTCGACTTTTTGAGTTTCCAGATTTTTATGAAATTTTTTTGCCTCCACATTCCGAGTTTACAAAAATTCGTCCTTTTTAGGCATGTTAAAACATACATTTTCGTCATAATCCTTCACTATTAATTACACATTTGTCCATTTATTGGATGTTTAATTTACTCTTTCTTTCTCATTAATTAAGGAGATCAAAATTCAAATATTCTTAAGCGCAAAAAGCCTAAAATATGTTTCTTTATTCGTTCAAATAGCCCGTAATTATAACGTGACTTGAAAATCAAAGCATTGTCTGCTTAGCAAATTAATGATTTTTCTCTCGGTTCTTTTTCATTACAATGTTTGAAAATTCATCGACACTACTGTAAGGGCTTCACTTTGACATTTCACTGGGCATTGTAAATCTATGTCTTTTTGGTACCTGTTCTTGGAAAAGTGAAAGCACTACGCACAATGCTAATATTGTTTTCCCTTCTCGGACGGAAAACTATTTCAAAGTTTCTCAAAGAGTTTTTTTGAAGGGAGTGCAGCCAGTATTTAGACAGCCGCGTATTCATACTCGTCAATATTTAGACAAATACTGTATGAACCAATTAGAATCGAGAAAAAACATAAATAATCCAAAATAAATAATAATTATTTGTTAATTTCTTCTTTGTCTCGATTCTGATTGGTTGAAACAGTATTTGTCTAAATACTGACCAGTCTGAATACGCGGTTGTCTAAATACTGATATGTAACCTTTTTGAAGGTTATCTCAAAAGCGTATAAATCAGAGGTGAATTCCCATAGGTTCCAATATTCATAAGGTTCCAAAATAAAAAAATCAGTCGCATAAGTTCCAAAATTTATCTTCTGGAATTCTGATTGGTTGAAATTTGAGCCAACGAATTTATGGATTGATTGTTTACTGTTCAACCAGCATAAACTCAAGCTGCAGAATAGTGACCGCCGCAGCCGCGCCAACGTGTTGCGAGCTTGCCACCAAAGGGTAGGACTCTATACGAAATTTAGAGCCGGTTATCGCCGCGAAGCGGCGACGCGCGCATAGCGCGCCCACCGGCGACCTTAAACCGAGACTCGGCTAATTTAGTCTTTTGACCAATTGAAAAGATTTGGAACTTATGCGACTGCTTTTTTATTTTGGAACCTATGGGACTGATTTTTTATTTTGGAGCCTATGAATACGCACCAAATCAGAAGGTCAGAAATTATCATGGTTGACTAACCGGTTAGTCAACCATGATAATTTCTGACCTTCTGATTTATACGCTTTTGAGATAACCTTAAAAAAAACTCTTTGAGACAACTTCGGCCGACTTCTACTATTCTTGTACTTCACTCAGTTCACCCATTCAAAAAATCCTTCAGAAATTTATAAATGAGGGAAAAGTTACAGATGGTAGGAAGCGGAGGAAATTAAACTCGAGATGGTTAGGAATCAAGACAACCTGATTGAGAATACTAACTCCTGCAGAGAATATTCCGGAATGCTCTCAAAATGTTAATACTCAATTACACTTCATTATAAGTCTTCGATTAACTGTGAATAAAGTGTTCATTGTTTATTTTAAAGAACGAAAATTATTTTGTCACTCCATATATCTTCGAAGTCTTTCCCTTTAAAGAAACTCCCAGCTTACAAGCAAAAATTGTAGCCCTTTACTCTGTGATTTACTATTATGGGAGTAAAAAATCTACTGGAGGGGTTTAAAATAAAAAAATCCCATCTGTGCGCTATGAAAATTTTAAAGAACATATCTTCGGTTTTTGCAGAGATTCGAACGATTGTTGTACTTCAGATCTTTGGAAAACTACTGGAGCTCCTTGTGTGATCTTGCGGAACTATTGCGAGTTTCTCTCGAAGAGGCTTCAGCTAAACAAAAAGCAGCTTTCGCTAAGTTCAAGGAAATAGATACTTGGCTGGACGAGCTAGAAACATGCAATCAAAGAGGCAGCAATGGCGAAACTCTGGATACTTCGCTTCAGAAACAAATGGTCCCTGCTTCAAATATTTAAATTCATGAAATGAGACTCTAATCTAAAATTCTCGGTTCTCGAAGAAGTGCTCACCCACCATCTGAACAGCATTCTCGCCTAAATTGAATATTTAGAGTAATGGCGCCCCAAACCTTATATTTTTGCTTTCTGCTGGGCTACCAGTTAAACGTGTGTGCTGATATATTCTTAGGTGCTCCTTGGAGAGTTAGATCAGAGAAAAGACGCCATCGCATTGCTCACTGTGTCAACGGAATCAGATGGGACTTTAAATCTTCTGAGTGATGCTGAGAAGGAGACTCTCTCCAAACAATGCAAACCAATATTAGATCACGTAATTTTTTTTTCAAATTCTGATTTGTTTCATGTCACTTCTGGTGGTAATATTGCGAATTTCTTAGATCGAACGAGTGAGGAGCAGTGTTCTCGAGCGGAAAGCAAACTTTGAAAAAAGTGCTCATGACCTCGAGGAGTTGATGCAAAATATAAAGGCATGAATATTTTTTTAAACAAATATTCAGATGTGATTTCGTAAACTTCAAAAGCCCCTTAAACATTGTCGGTTCATTAACAGAAAGCTTTTGACTGGCTGCAAGTAGCCGAAGACAATGTGAAGAAAATATGCAGTGCAACAGGAAACCAGAGCTCTATCAATGATCTAAAAGCACAATTATCAGAAATTGACGCTTACAATCCATATGTTATCTACTGCAATCAAAAAGGCAACGACTTATCGCCAACTTGTAGTGAGCGTCAAAAGAAGCAACTGGAAAGTAGCTTGAAAGGTGAGTTTTGAACTATTGTTGATATCTTAAATTTAGCTTGAGTCATTATCAAGAATTATACTTTTTTTTATAGATATAAATTACCGCTATAGCGTATTGAAGAACTTAGTCGAGAAAGACCTGCAACACAAACAAACGATTGTCGCTAAAGAGAAAGCCATAAACGAAGAGAGTGCAAAACTATTGAAATGGCTAAAAGCAACACAAGGCAAATTGGATCATTCCCCATTGGAAGGCCAAGCTGAGAAACTTGAAGAAAAGCTAAAAGCAGCTCGTGTAAGTCGATTTTATTTATTTATAGTTCATTTATTGTTCGATAAGGGGACGATTTTCTCACAAAATTTATAAATATGCAATACTCAAACACTTTTTAAAATGTAGAATCAAAGTTGAAAAATTTTAGGACATGGACGAGGAAATTCAAAAGAAGGAAGTGATTTTGGGCGAACTGCTCTCAAAGGTCGGCAATTTATCAAAAGAGATAAGTAGCGATCAACGTGAACAGATTGAAGAAATGATTGATGAGCTGAAAACTGAAACAGAAAGGTAACTAAATGTGTAGACATTGGGTTTTTATTGTTCCCACCACTGTAAGTGAGAAGTTTCGGATGTTATTTTTTCGAGTAAAATCAGTGACCTAAAATACTTTAGACACGCTTAGTTGATATAAAGTTAAAGCCCTTGTGGCCGTGCTTTTATTTGTAATGTCAAAAATCCCCCCTTTGGGTCTGTTTAAAAATTCTCCCGCCCTTGCATGTATTAATTTTGAGATTGTTTTACTTACAAATTAAGCCTTTAAAATTTTGCCATTTTAAAAACTTAACAATCATTTTTTTCACCCTTTCACCAGATATTTTTCTTTTCTCTAGAGTTTTTCACTTCATTTTGTGAACATTGTCTCTCTAATGATAACTACCATCTACTATCTAACATAAAAAGCGACACTAATTTAAAGAAAAAAAAATATATATTTTTCTAGTTTTATTATGAATGTGGTCAGAACATTCTGTGCTACTTACGAGGCCACGGGCTATCCTTGCTTGTTATTGGTAATGGTATAATTTTTCTATGATTGATATAATTTTTTGTAGGATATCATTTATTTTTGCCGAGCAAAGCATTTCTCTAGTTTTGTTTGCCAACTCCTAGATCGACTGTTCTTGATTAATATAGTTTTAAAATATTCTTGCGCAAAATGTTGAGTTTAATTGATTGGGCTGCCTAAAAGTATGTATCTGTTCGCAGAATGAAGAAGACAAACAATGCGCACAAAGTACAACTTGAAGTGGCTTTGCAAACCAAGAAAAGTTTTCTGGATGAGTTTGACAAAATCGAAGAAGCCATTAAGACTGCTAACAGTGACGTGAACAAACTTGCCAAAGAAAAGTTTTCAATAATAGATTCTACTGGAACAGATGACAATGTTGTGAAAGCTAAGGTAATTTTTTTAACTGGAGAAATCTATCGAAACGCTTTAAATGTCATATTTTATCGGTGTTAAATACCGTTCTTCACTTTCTATTTAGGAATTGAGTTTGAAAGCTGAAGAATTAAATGACAAATTGAAGGCTTTGCAGCAAAACGCAGCTCAAATGGAACCTTCGGAACAAAAAACGTTACTCGAAGCCAAAGTCAACCGCCTATTAGATCAACAGAAAGACTTGCAATCTAAGTGCAGTGACGCGCTCGAAAGCGCTGCTAAGACTGCAGAAGATTTGAAAGTCCTGAATGAGAACCTGGTAGTTTCTGAAAAGAAGATCAAAGATATTTTGAACAACGAAATGCCAGATCCAAAATTAGCAGCACAGACAAGATTGGAAAAATTAGCGGTAAGTTACGAAAAAGCATCTGAATTTGGATTACCAAATCAATTATACGTTTTAGTTCTTGATTTTCTTGTAATGTGGTGGATCTAGGATTTTCTAAAGCTGTTCAAACTGTTTTTGTTTGACCAATTACTAAAAAAAAAGACCCAGAATGACGTTTTTAGGCAGTTTTTGGAAGTCTTTGACCACAATTTTTTTTTTCAGGATATTGAAGATTTCACTACAGAACTTGAGAGAAAAATGAAGGAAATTTCTGACAAAACTTTGGATTCTGTGCGCAAATTGTCTCGACCCGACATCGAAAAACATAACAAACACAAAGATTTAATCAAAACTCTCTTGGAAAATTTGAAATCAAAGCTAGTGTCGGAAAAGCGAAAAGCCAACAGTGCTATAGAGAAACGAGCTCTTATTGCAGAAAGTCTGGAAAACGCCAAAGAGTTCCAGAAACGATTCGAGGAGAATCTTAAGTTCGATTCGTTGCCGCTTGAAGTTTCTTCTCTGGAAACAATTTTGGCCAAATTTCACTCAATGCAAGATGAGCTAAAACATCACGAAGAAAATCAACGCGAAAAGTTTCAACAAGCCAAGAAGTTCTTAGATCAAAATCGGGAGCCGTATGATGATGAAATTTCATTGGCGAATGAAGTTTTCGATGACTATCATAGTTGCAGTCAAGCGTTGGTCAACCAAATAAATGGGGCTGAGCTAGCTTTGAAGCAGAGAAAAGAATTGACCGCAACTTTGGATGCTATCGAAAACTGGTTGGGATCGACTAAAGAGTTCATGAAAGGCGTGGACCTCGGAGATGCTTGCAAGTCGGAGAAGCTCGTGGAAAAACTTGAGGTAACGTTATTTTTTATTTTAACTTGTGAACAACAGCTGTTCCCCGTAGCTTGTATGTTGTCTTTTACCTCATGAAAAAAGTAAATGGTCCTTATTTGTCCGTTATTGGCATTAAATTATATGCGAATAATTGAGCAGGGCATCCTAGAGAACCGAAGTCCGGATCGGGTCTCAGTTAGACGCGCAATGAGGAGCCACCACGCTATTTGGAAGCCTAGTTCATGGCATCAATTAATATACGAAAAATTGGATCCTATTTAATTCCCCCTCCCTGTTAATTCCCCCTAACAGAGGGGAGGGGAAAGAAAGAAATAATTTATTTCTCAAGTCCGCCTTTTTCAGTAAGATCAGTTTAATTTAAATATTATATCAATTCAACTAATGAGACTCGGAGGAATTTGTTACCATGATAAGCACCCGAGTTCTCTTGGTTGATGGATCGATCAGTCTTTCATAGGGTGTGGATAATCATTACTTGGCAACAAAGGGTATTTTAGCGAGATCAGAAATTATTCCAGCAATTACAGAATGCTGCTGAGGAGTATGTCCAGAGATCCGTTGAGGTTGTTAAGTAAATTTGAGCTCACCGGAAAGAGTTTGAAAATTTTGTTCTATGAGCTAACAAAAGAGCTTCTGAGCGCGAGAAATACCTTAATATTTTTCTTTAATTTGTAATCGAATCAAAGAGGATCTAAGTGAAAGCGTTTCTATGAGTAGTTTTTAGCAACAGATTAAATTTTCATCTATTACGGGTAGAAGAAAAAAGTCTCGACACTGAAAAATTTTTATGGTTGGACTCTTAAATCAATTTAAATGATTCGGTTCAAATAGGTTTTAGGTATATTTCAAACTATCGGTTCAAAGAGTTTACCATTTTCCGTGACACAATCTTAAGCGGAAAAAATGACAATCATGTGAATTTTTGCGTCTCTTTTTTCCTGGATACTTAAAAAGAAATTTAATTAAAATACAAAACTTGCTTTTTAAAATGTAAAAGGTCAAATTTCATACCAAATTATTGTTTTTCTTGTTTAAGAAATTGAAATCTGAAATTGGTCATCAGAACAAACTTTTGGACTCCGCAAATGACAAAGCCATGGAGATAGCAGCCACTCTACCCATGGACGACCAGGAAAGTCTGGAAGCCCGTTTCGAAGAGATCGATCTGGAAAACGTTGAATCTCAGTTGAATAAATTGAGTTCAAAGTTAACTAACAGTTTGAAAAACTTCAACACACTGAAACAAGGCGCAACTGAAAATGCTAAACGGTCTAAGGAGTTGGTCGACTATAAGCTCGAGTTTCCAATTTCGATCGAAGATGCGAAATATCAATTAGAAACGGTTCAGGTAAGTGCTCATTTGGATACTTCGTTTTGGCGCCGACCACTGAAGGTGTTACGGAACTTTAAATTTAAGTGTCGTTTTTCCAGGCAAATCAAAAGCAAGTCTTAGTAATTGTGCGAGCCCATATTGAAGCGCTATGAAGATTAGAGATGAAACAAGACTGCTCGTATATGAGAGCAAAACCCTGAATGTTCCCACTGTCCCTTAATTAATATCGAATAGTTTTTGGGAAGAGAAAGTATTGAAAACCTATATATTTTGGACAATATCAAAGTGTACATTTCTGACTTGTACGAAATTAATACGACCGATCTGATTAGCTAGCCTCAACTCAATTTGTAACGATTTTGTAGTGCGGGATAATTCGCCACGCATAAATAATTCGCGTAACGCTCTCAGCAATATGAAAAAATTCTTCAAAGCGCGCATAATTTAGTCCAGAACATGGCAAATTTGCCAATTTTCCAACCCCAAGAACTGTACAAAAAATAATCGGAGGTGAAATATCTTTATACATTTGAACTCAGGAAGTCGATATCGTCAATTGTGTATAAAAAAATTTTGTTGAAAATTTTCGTTTTGATCGGTGAAACTTGACTGAATAAAAAAGCCACACCGAGCATAAATATTAGGTTTTCTTCGAAAGTCAGAACAATAAAAAAATCTAGGTCGATGATTACGTATATAATTAAATTAAGTTAAATCTTTTAATTGATTTTTCACAAAGATAGCTGTGGTTGGAACATCTATGCCACCAACTACTTTTATTGTTTCGACTTTCGAAGAGAATGAAGGAATATTTGTGCTCGGGGCGTTTTTAGATTGATTTTGACTTTTTAACTAAAAGTTTTTGACGGATTTTTTAAAATCATTTGAAAAAGATTTTTCATCTGTGATCATTTTTTTGTTAAGTTCTGGGGGTTTAAAGATTGTCGGTTTGGCCAATTCGGGGTAATTAACGCGCGGTATATTTCGTGCTATTAATGCAAGATTCAATCCTTCCGAGAAATTGTTCCATATTGAATTGAGGCATGCTGTTTAATATTTTGTTGGTTGCTTACTCTTCAGCCCCATGTTATTTAACCCCCTATGGTCACACTCCCTATTTTATAACCCCGTAACAAGATAACCCCACAAAGTTTAACCCCTTGTTACCCTTATACCACCGATAATTTCTTTCATATTAAAACTCCAATTAAGTGTGCTAATTGAGGCCAAAGAATTTTTTCTTAATTCACTTGTTGAATTTAGTCGCTCAAAAATATCAAGATTAAGCATTTGAGCAATTGTAATAACCCAGCCGTCGCAACCGCAATTCAGGCCATAACAGATGACCTTGCCATTCACGAGAGAATTTTTTAACTCGGCGACCCTGAAATGCTACGTGTGATAGAAAACTCAAATACTTGTTCACCTTATACATGTTAGCCTTTCAGGTACAATCAAAGCTAGAATATATGCTTTCCTACCGAATAAAACGGAAAAAAAAATCCTGAGAAGCCCTTAAAATTTCAGCCCCTGATAGAAGACCTCAAAAACGTTGCAGGTTTTAGAGCAAGTCGCTATTCAAGCGTTTCAAAAAAGTTCCCCGAGTCAAAGTAGTCGGGATGTTTCTTTCATTTTTCACAAAAATGAGAAAATTCCCGGAACGCATTACAAAAGGAATCTGAAATAAACCACAAGTTTAATTTAGCTCTTCAAATATTACCCTCTCTGGTTTTTGGAATTAAAAAAAATAGGAAATTCATATATTAAAATAGTCAAAGAAAATCAAATGGCAAGCGATCGCGCCAGAGAAGAGTTGGAAAAAATTCAAAAAAGGTGATGAGTTCTGCCTTTATTTTGGATCCAATCACTTCAAAAAATTCGTCAATTGAAAAAACTTATTTCTACCTCCAGTATTGAATCCAAGAGATGCAGCATCAACTGGTTTGGCAAGAACAACAAACACTGTAGAAGGCTGTCATTATGACATACAGTTATATTTCAGTGGATGGCATCCCAGTATATGGAAAGTAATCGCAAACTTGCAAAAAAGTTGTTTCCATTGAAAAATGCAGTTTTTATAACGGTTCGAGTAGGCACCAATCTACAAAAAAGAACCAGGTCTCAAACGAGAAAGCGCAGAATATTTTGAGTGTATACGAAGAAAATAACTGATTCGGATTGCTTACGCGCTAAAGCGAATTTAAGTTAATTATTTGTTCATTTGTTCTATGTATATATTTATGCAGTAAAATTTTGTTTAATTCTTAACTTTTTGAAAAAAGAAGTCGCCTTGCAGCGTCCCGAAGACGTAAAAAAACGCATTGTCGTGACTTACATTTGAAAAATGCTGTCTTTAGCAGTTTAATCCCGTAACGATCACTCCTTTGACGGGACGCTAGATTGGGGCTAAGGGCTACCAAACCCTGTAGATACTTCGTTGCAGGCCGACAATTCAAAAAATGACAATTTTTAGATGGTTCAGAAAGTTAAATATGTTTCACTTTAAAATTATTGGTATTTGAATAAAGCATTGATTAGATCAAATTGTTGGTAACAACCAGTTTCCGCTCCGTATTTCATATACATTCATTCAATTATTCTATTATTGGCAGGGAAGTTTTCATGATCACGTTCAATTTTGGAAAAAAATTAATCTCGGGCTAGTAATTTGAATCATGCTGCTCAGATTCGTTTTCAAGTTCATGTTAAAGTCAGATCAAAGTCTAGACTATCGGTAAGGTCGTTTCTGTTCAAATCTAAACTGCATTTAGCAGCGTGCATGTTGTTCGGTTTTGTTTCGGGTTGTTTTTGCATTTAAAGCCTTGATGCTTACCGACGCTTTGGTTCCGAATTGCTTTCAAGTAATTTTCACTTTGATTCTAACAATTCGTATTAAAAGGAGTTAAATTGTAGTGAGGTTATGCAATTCTGGGGTTCTATTGGAAGGGCTAAGAAAAGAAGTTTAAAACACGGGGTTGTAAGCTTGGGAACCTGTTTTGCTATGTGCGAAATGTGTTTTTTTTTGTACTTTGGATAGCGTGTGGGGGATTTTTCGAAAAATTCTTCCATTTTTTAAAGGCGATCCTTACTTCATAGATAAAAAATGCAGTCGGAACATTCAGGGCTTCGCCTTGATACAAGCATTCTTGTTTTAAACTTTATTTGTGATCATCGATTTATGACAGCATAAAAAAGTTAAATAATGTTTCTCGGAATCAATTTTAATAAATTGTCATCAACTTGAATTTTTGAAAAAATTTTATCTTGTAATTTTTGACCTAAACTGGAGTCATTTAATTTACATTTTCACAAATAACACCATGTATTTTTATTGAAATATTGTAAAATGCTTATATTTTAGACAAAGATTTCGGATCTTGATTCGCTCGCCGATGAAAACGAAGAACTTGTAAAGATATCTGAACAGTTGAAAAAAATAGCAAACCAAAACTCATCGAAAGCTATATCTGATCTAATGAACGGTTTGCAATCACAGATGCAAAACAGTAAAGAAAAATTAACAGAAAATCTTAAGTCATGCCAAGAAAATCTGCAGCTTTGGAGCGACTATTGGGCGTCCATTGAAAAGTTCGAAGAGCGTCGAAAAAAAGTCGAGTCCGAGTTGTTTGACCTCGATGAAGCTTTGCCGAATAAAAGTGTTCTGAACTCGGCTAATGAACTTCGAGATTTAATGAATGATAGTGACATTCTGGATAATATCAGCAAGTTTACGGAGGCATTGTGTCAGCGTGTTCCGGATAAGAAATCGCGGGATCATTTGATGGACGTTGACAATAAGCTGAAGAACAGTGAAAACGACCTTGTCAGTCGTCTAGACAGTTTAATAGGTACTCTTAATTTCTTGATTTCCATTTTTTGCTTTCTAAAGCAACCATAAAATTTGAATAAAGCTTAATTTTGAAGAAACCAAAATCTCATCAGAAGTCCAAAATTTAAATGACTATCTAACGATGAAATTGATTTAAAAAATGTATTTTGTTCTCGATTTGGATCGCTGTCTGAAATTAAGTTCACTCCCGTTTTGGAAACAATCTGTTTTTCTTTCAGTGAAATGTTTGCTGTATTTTTTTTTGCAGATGAAACATCGCACAGTTTAATGTGTGAAGAAGAGATAGTTGTTCAAGCGGAACAATCGAAACATACTCTGAATGCAATCAACGAGCAGCTTTGTTCACTACCTGTAGCCGAAGACGACTTAGAAACAGCCGAGCAGTCAGTGGACGACTTGCTTCGCTCGCTCCAATTGGTCGACCAAACAGTTGAATCGCAGAAGACGAAGATGAACCAAAATCCGAGTCGATTCAAGAACCCGAATGTACTCAAAAGTCACGAGGATTTAAAAAGCAAACAAAATGAAATTCGAGCTATTTTGAATGAAAAAGCAACTGTAGTCAACAAAGAAAAAGGTACAATTTAAGTTTTTTTTAATACATTAAGACGGTAAATTCAGTTTGAAAAAACATTTTCTTAACTGGAGTGGATTTAAGGGGGGATGGGTGGGCGCCCTTTTTCAGGTATTTGACCCTCTGCCAACCCAAAGGGTCCTCTTTGATACTATTTTACGACATTCATTTTCGTCCCACGGACTTTATAATTTTTAATTATTCAAGAGTCGGCAGTACATATCAATTTTGAGGGGGGAGAGGGCGGCAGAAAGTGCAAGTTTTTTAGTCATAAGCCTCCAAATGTGCCCAAAAGTATCAATTTTTTCAAAAGTCTGTCTAAAAGGTAGAAAGTTAAAGCGCAGATTTGTAAAAATCCCTCTCCGAGATCCGCTCTTGATTTTAAATGAAGGTTGATTAAAAGTTTTTGCAGCTAATGCCTTAAATAGTATCAAATGCAAATATTATATTCAACTTGTTCGAATTAGAAGCGCTGTCTTAATTGATGTTCTTGCAAACTCGTTTAATAATCCAATTTTCTTACATGCCCTAGATAGCCCCCGTAGATAACTTTGTTCACAGGATGACTGAAATTTTGGTCATATCTACCTTTGTCAACAAACAGAAGGATTGAGAACAGGCAATTTTTGAGGATGTCTGCATTTTAAATGCCCGTTTCATTCGAAATTTTTAAGTGTTGGTTGCAAATTTACCACTTCCGGTTTCAGTATATCAGTTTTTTTTCTCCTGGTTCGGCCTAAACGGTTTTGGCTTATAATTATCGGCTTGAGAGGTTTGATGAGCAAAAATTTTAGATCGAAGTGTTCTGAGTGGGATATAAAAACTTCCGGCGCAACCTGTGTCTGCTCAAGAGTTTTCGGCTTTATTGAGAGTAATGCACATAGTGAAGACTCTTATATAGGTCTTGCTGATTTTTGTTTGTTTTTTTTTCAGTCGCGAAAGTCTCTAATAATTAAGACGTGCATTCATACGTATTGATGCATTGATGAATGCACTTAGGTATATATGCACTTTTTGAATTCAATTAAAATTCATCTGCTGAAAGTGACGCAAGTAACACTACAAATACTAGCGTGGAAATGGCGTTAAAAACGTGAACGATTTCTAGTTTCGAAGGTGGAATTTAATTTTTAGATTTCCAGCGGAATAAAAATTTACCTATTGATCTAGTTTTCTCTAGCTGGGTTCATGTTATCAAAAAAGCGTCTATCATACATAAATTGTTCTAGAAACTCAACGAGCTTAAAGGGCATCTATTTTTTTTCATTGAAATTCGAAAGTCAGTGTTTTTTATGTTTACTTGCGTTCATTACTCTTTTCCAATATTCGATTGGCTATGTTAAGTTTTGTTTCAATTCTTATTCAACATTCATTTTTCCTAGTTTTTGGCATAATTTTATGAAAAGAATTTTCATTCAAGACAAAATCAAGACAAATTTAGGAATGTTTTTGGTAGATCAATTTTTTCGATACTTTTTTTACGACTCTCCCCTCTATTGTCGTATGTCAACCCTGTCATTTATAGGTTTCATCGCTTGTAGTGTTATATTTTGCTTCGCCTCTCTCTGTAAAGTTTCTAGAGAACTTATTTCAGTTCCAATCTTATCGATATTTTCGCAAAGTTAATGTTTTTTGGAGAAAAAATATTTGAAGTTTTTTGTTCGTTTTGTCCGTTCATCTGCAAGTAGAGAGAGTGATTCAATTTTCTATTGCAAGTAGAACAAAGCTCTACTTTGCCTCTGAGTCCAATATTGTAATATTTCAATTATCGTTTCAGAAATATTTGGTTAATGAAGCATTCTTTGAATTGGATGATAAAAGTGATTACTGTAAATTAAAACGGACCTGCTGACTAAAAGAATCAGCATTTAAATCGGCGTTTTTTTCCTTTTTTTTAGCCAGTAGCAGCTATTTCGGGTCCGTTTGAACATCAAATGTAATGAATGTTTCAGTATGGAAATGCCATGCAATAAGCTGATGCCTTTTTGGTATTCTGCCAAATCATTTTTTTTTCTAAATTGGAAGTTTTTTAACAAATGAATTTTATAATATTGTGGCTGTAAAATTAAACTATTATGGTAAGCATTTTACCGTTAAAATGACCCCAAATGTTTTTTAAAAAAAAAATTGACCGTCAAAATAATTGTTTTTGTTCGTAATTTCAAAAATTAACAAAATTATCCATTATTTAATTGCTATCAGATGATCAGTTTAGTGTTGTGCATCGGCCTTTAAAATGAAGAAGTGTTCAAGAACTTTATTTTTAAAAAGTCTTCTTATATCGGCATTTTTCTTGCTAGATGATTATTAGTTAAAATTTGTTTTTCTAACCTTAAAATTTGATGTTTCCACTAATTCTGATTTTAAGAAAATTAACTTTTGTTTTTTCAAGAAGTCGATTTTTTGTTGTTACTGTTTTTGTGGTTTTTTAAACATCAAATACTATTATTGAGTTTAGCCCGTGCTACTGATTTGTGCTGAATCTTCAAAACTAGTTTACGTCTAATTTGTTCATTTAAATATATTTTTTCTATTATTAAATTAACTAGCGGGTAGAATTTCAGTAGGCGCGCAGAGGCGCCTTTTGTCTATCCTTTTTCAATTTCTTGTACTGAACGTATTGATTTTATCTAGTTGAAAATAAACGCACTTAGTTGGAAATAAATTGATAGTTTTTGTTTGTTGTTCCGACCATTGAAAATGGGGATGAACTTTGGATTTGGGTGCGTTTTAGTTTTTTGTTTCCACGCAAAATCAGGTACCAAAAATCATCGGAATTGGTCGATTCTTATATCATATCAAAGTGCTTTCAGCCGTAGCTCGAAGGACATTAAATTTTTTCCAAAACATTTTCCAGCCAGTGTCGAGAAAAACCATTTGAATTTTTTGAAAAAACAGAAGAAAAACTTTCTGGTAGTTTCTTTTTAAGTATGGTGGGAGCATTCTGTGCTACCTAGGCAGCAACTGGCTATCCTTGTTTCAATATTATTTTGGATAGATCATTATTTTCTTCTTCATTTATTTCAGAACAAGCGGAGCAGTTTAAGAAGAAAGCGAGGGAGTTGCGAGGAGAGATCGAGAGGAAGAGTGGGGAGGTTGAGAACCTGCATAGACTCATGCTCTCAGACACCTCTGCAGAGAACCTCTCTCTGGTCAAGGGACACCTCCAGGTATTGTTTCGTAGCTCTTCTTCCTTGTACACAATCCCTGGCTCTTTTTCCTAACCCCTCCCCCACCCACGTGCAAACATTTACAAGCTATTTTTTGTTCACATTGTCCGATTGTTACAAAAATTGGTATGCGAATTAATTAGGCGATGACAAACGTATTTGGTCTTCATACGTGACCCTATTAGAACGACACGTATAATCGCAGCAACTCGTGCAGTAAATTCGTTTTTTGTTATTGTTTATATTGTCGATTGTGCCACATGTAAATTTGCTCAAGCAAATTAAAGTCTTTTACTACTACTACTAATACTACTACTACTACTACTACTGCTACTACTACTACTACTACCCTGGTAACATTGTAAAATTTATGCTTATGTGAGGTTGTGAAAACGGAAAAAAAGTCCAATCCCTCCTCCCCCTTTGACATTACGTAAATTTTCATCTGTATTTAAAAAAACGATATGTACAAATTTTGTTACCAATTTACCCCTTTAACAAGGTTGGCTGGTAATTAACATGATCTGAAGTTTAATTTCTTCTTTCTTAATTAATTTCATCGGCAAAAGATTTTGAAGTTTTCGTCGATAAAACTCATAAGAACCTACGTGCAATATTCGTATCTGTTTTTTGGAACTAGCAAAAAATCTCCTTCCATTTAAGGAGCAGACAGATCAATGTGGTAGATAAATAATAACCATAACTAGGGTGGAATTTGAAACATCAACCTACTGATTTCAAGTTGGATGCTTCAGTGCCATTAAAAAAAAATGCGCCAATAAGACCAGTATTTTTTGGTACATATTAAAAATTGAACTCCTATAAATCTGAGCAATAGCTAAAGGTAGTTGCCAGTCTTAAAGTTTTTCTATTTAGAAGGTCAAGTTTTATGTTTTATGTATTAAACTTGTTTTTTGTCAGTTTCTTGTCGATAAAAATCTATTAAAAAATGTAGATAAAAAAATCTATATTTGAGACTCTTCGTCTAATTTTAGAAATCCAACGGGGAAATGGAGCGCTTGCTTGAGCAACTTAAAAACCTGGAGAGTTGTCCCGTTTCTAAGAAAGTCAAGGAACCTATACTCAAGGAGCTGCGAGACCAGCTGTCGATGACTCAATCGATGCAAGGAAGCGGCGAACAGATTTTGGACAAAGTGTCAGATTTGATGGAGGAATTCAAGAATAACTGCAATGAAGTGAGGGGTTTGTGCGAAGAGGCGAAGTCGATTGCACCAACACAACCGGTGGCTTCCTTGGATTCGAACACCTTGCATACGTTGACCGGTATGTATGTACTGACCTGGGATCTTGTTAACTATTTCCAACCCCTTTGCAAAAGAGAGGAAATTAGTTACAAGGTGCATAATTCGTTTATATTTGATTGTTCAATTCTTTCTTAATTGCGCGGGGAGGGGGGATTTCGTTACAAGGTTTCATAGGAAGGGAAATAGTTAACAAGATTCCTGACTTGCAGCCGTATAAGTTGTTTCAATGTTATCTGGAGAGAAATCCTTAATTATTTCAAACACAAGCTGAGATAGTGTTATAATTCGAGTCAACTTTATCCAACCGAAGTAGCAAAACTCATTGCAAAGTTTCTACGTTCTGAAAACATGCTAAAGCAGGATTGGACTTGAAGGGCAGACTGAGGTTCCGAACCCCGAGAGAAGCCATTTTTCAAGATTCGTTTTCATTGAAGCTTATTTCCGTAATTTCTTGCATTTCAGAGCTCTTCTGCTTGTGTTTCAAACGATTGGCTTTTTAAAGTGTAAAAGGTTGAAGCAATTTTGACTTATATAGTTCTGGATGGTATTTTTGTTTGTTTGTTTTTCAGGAAAAAGTCTTAAAATTTGTTCACGCTCAAGTTTGATTTTTCGCGGTTTGACTTGTGATTTCTTTTTAAGTTCAGTTCATTTTCATTGTTAAATAAACGCAAACTCTACTATCGAACAGCAAAAGTGTAAAGGTCACGAAAAACGCGATCGACTTCTAGTGACGAAAATGGAATTTAATTTTCAGATTTCCCACAGCGGAATAAAAAAATTATCTATTGATCCAGTTTTCTCTAAACTTAACAAAACAAGTGCCAAACATAACCAGTATTTGAAACGAAGAGTTTAAAGGTGATATTTTTCTCCAAAATTTGAAAGTTGAAAAATGTTTTTGAAAATTTTCAATCAACTGCTTTTGGTTTCCTTGTATTTTTACATTTTTCCAACTATCTGTTGGTTATCTTTAAAATTCCTTCTGGTAAATAAATAAGGGTTAGAAGAAGTTATTACTGCCACAATTTTACATCGGTTGCGAACTATGATATTGAGCAGGGGCGGGCTTACGGGGGGTGGGGGTCCGACGCTCTCCCCCCTCAAGGATTCGATCTACTCACCAATCAACGGGTCCCCCCGTTGGTATTATTTTATGAAATCCATTTTTGGCGGCCGACCCTAAATTTTTTCAAAAAACGCCCTGGGCACCAATACATTTTTAGTTTGAAGGGGATCGCGCTCCGCAATTTTTTTTGGTCAAAAATTTTCCGAAAGTGCCCAAAATCGGCATTTTGACCTGTTTGTTTTTCAAAAATTTGAATTTTGCCTGTGACGCAATTTTTTTTTTGTCAAAATAGGGACTTTACAGTGTTCTGGTAGCGCTCGGAAAATCAATTTGGTCGACCAAAAATATGTTAGACAAAATTTACGACATTGTTTTAAAAATCAACACCCCCCCCCCCCTCGTCGAGAAAACCCTAGATCCGTCCCTGTTATTGAGATTTGAGACAATTCTTGTTTTAGTAAGTTATCAATGCTTATATTAATAAATTTGTTGCCTTTTTTCTAGAAAAATTGAACCACTTCAAGAATAAGTTTGACGCTGCAGTGCCTCTGTTGGATTCGTGTGACAGTTTGAGGGATAAAATAGAGCGTCTTTTGGGCGAAGGAGTCAACATGGATGACGTCAGATTAGAGACATCTGAAAATCACGCTGAGTTCGACAGGTCAGATTTTGACCTTTAATTTAAGATTTCTGGTTTAAAACATGCATAAAACAGTATATAATGTAGTTTCTTGCTCTTTTAAAAGAGACAGTAGTAACACTTAGAAATTTTTTATTATGAAGCGTTGTATTGTTTAACCTTTAGTCATATCTTGAAAGCTTCTTGGAAAAAAAAGAGAAAAAATTGTCAACATTTTCTGTATAGCCAATCAAAACAAGTGGAAGAATTATCAGCTGAGCTTCTTGAGGAACTGCAATCTCGTACAGATGCTTCCAGATCTCTTGCCGACCTGAAAGCGAACTTGGAGAACATTCTAGAAAGTCTAAACGTCCTCGGATCAGAAACATCGCCAGAGACGGATCCAGAAAAAACAGTGCGACAATTAAATGTTAGCAATTTCGTAATATATTTTGAACATAATGTTAGTTTTAATTTACTATTTCATTTTTTGCTGATGTTAATTAAGTTGAGTTTGGTTTTTCAGGGTTTGAAGAAAAGTCTGGCTCAGATAGGAGAAAATGCTAATAAAATTGGTGGTAAGTTGAAGGAACGGTATGCTGAAAAACAAGTTCCGTTGCCGACTGACCTTGCAAAACAGCTCTCTCACATCAAGGTATGTATTATTTAATAAATACTAGGATAAGTTCTAGATTATTTAAGTACTCAATTATTTACGTACTACTAAATCATAGAAAGATGTAACGTGCTTTTTAAAAGTTGGCGTGTTTTTTGTTAGATTTTTTGGAAACTTTATGCAAAAAATGAAAAAATGTGGCATCGATTCAAAGTCTTTAACACTAAAATTTTGACCTGATTTTTTTTTCAAATTGCCTTTCGTGTCGTCTATTTGCCTCAACATTTTTCTTTTGATTCGGCGCCATTAGTTTCTCATGAGCTTTTGTACAGTGCTGATTTAAATTAACCGGACAAAACGCGTTAAACTTGAAATTTAAAACGCGTTTTTTTTCAAATTGGGTTGAGTTTAGGTGAAAACTTATGAAGACAAAACTTGCTTAAAATTTTAGCAGAATTAATATGGTGTAATTCGTTTTGCAAAAATCGAGCCCAAAATTTTACCCCAAAAATGGGTCCCTTTTGCTTTTCTTAGTTAATCAAAAATTACGCCAAAAATACCGAGTGGATCACAGACATAATTATATCAAAGTGAGCCCCTTACATAGCTCAAAAAACTCTAAGAAGGGTTTTTCTCTAAAAAAATTTGCAAACCGTTTAAAAATTGTTTTTAAATAAAAAGTTGGTATTTTATATGGTAAAAACGACCTTTTTTGTCTATCAAACAAAAATAAATTAACTTATACAATGTTTTGGAGAATACACCCTTCATAAAGTTTGTTGGGCTACGTAAGGGGCTCACTTTGATATATTTATGTCTGTGATCCACTTGGTATTTTTGGCGTAATTTTTGATTAACTAAGAAAAGCCAAAATGACCCATTTTTGGGGTAAAATTTTGGGCTCGATTTTTGCAAAACGAATTACACCATATTAATTCTGCTAAAATTTTAAGCAAGTTTTGTCTTCATAAGTTTTCACCTAAACTCAACCCAATTTGAGAAAAACGCGTTTTAAATTTCAATTTTAACGCGTTTTGTCCGGTTAATTTAAATCAGCACTGTATTTTAACCACCCTTAATGTAGTTTTTGTTTTCTTCCATCCGAATGTCAATCTTTAGTCTCTTCAAGCGTCCGCGACAAAGTCGACCAAGAATGTGGAACGAAAGCTGCAAAATGAACAGCAAGAACAGCGGAAGTACCTGGACGGACTCAGAGAAGTCTCGAAACAGATCGCGAAACTAGAAGACGACGATTTAGCCGTGATTGAAAAGATCGCCAATCTGGAATCGTTTGACGATCTGAACAAACTCAGATCTGATGTTGAGGTGATTATTTGAAACAGACTTTTTTGTCTTGGACTTTTTTAAAATTTCCAGCGCGTTTTAGTACTTCAGAAGTTACGAGAGTTAATGGAAAAATATCGTTGTTGGGCACTTTTTGGATTTTTACATAAAACGTTGAGCGTTTTCAACGCATTTTCCTCAAATTTTGTATGGTTATTGACGCCAAAGTGGCTCTCAGAATTGTTTAAGAATTGGAGACTCCGTAATGGCGGTCATAAAATAGGACTGGAATCTGGCATCCAGCAGTTCAGCACGCTACTGATTCTTGCAGCTAATTATTTTTTTGAGCTCAAATGTAATTTGTGAGGATATTTGCAGGAACTTATGACTCAGTTAAATTCAATGGAAAAAAGTTTGAGTCATCCATCAAAATCTGCAGATGCGTCAAAAGGCGGCGGAGATCAATTGAAGTACATGGCTGAAACGATTAAGCGTCTGAAGGTAATCTTTTTCTGGTTTTATGTCGTTTTTTTTCGAAGCTTTTGTTAAGAAACTTGAAATACTGGCTTACTTTTCAGACAGCCGGTGGCGGGTCAATCATGTTTAAATATGTATTGTTTTGAAGCACTGACAAATTTTGCCGTCATTTTTTATCTTCCGAATAATAATATCGTAAAGTAATTCCGTTTTCAGGACTCGCTTAATAGCCATCTTCAATCAATTGACGAAACGGCGTCTAGTTGGACTGACCTTCAATCAGCCTTGAATGATCTCGAAGCTCAAGTTGTGCAGATTCAAAGGCGTGTTCCTCTAGCACCGGTTCAAATCTACAGTGGCGATGAATTGACCGAACGTGTCGCTAAAACGAAAAGTTTAATTGACGAAATTGAAGTGTGTGGAAAAAATCTGGATGAATTGAAATCGCGGGTTGAGGAGTTTACGAACAGTTTGGGTTTGTCGTCGGCTGTTGGTGTTGTCGACGAGGCGTACGCTAGTGCACAGAAGCAATTCACCGAGTAAGATTTTATTATTTTATCATCACGGTCGTAATTCTCATTACCCTCGCGATAAGCAACGGTATTGCAATTGGGTACAAGACTTTTTTCCGTAAATATTTTTGTTCACAGGACTAATCTCGTAGACTCTTTCATCTACTGGGGCTTTTTGTCACACCACACATGTTTTGAGCTTCTTAGCATTTAAAGGTCCGTTCTAAACGAATTTTGCGTTTTAAGTTAGTTGAAATTTTACCAAATCGATTTGTTGAAATTTCATATTTTTTTTCGTTTTGTTGCCTTCTTTGTCGGTTTAATAGGTTTCAAGCTTATTTTCGACTTAGTGGTCTCGAATGTTGTCTTTTGAGGACGGAAAGGTTTTTTTTGTGTATGTGCGTGTGTTATCACCATCATCATCATCATCAGTGTTTTGATTTATCCACCTCCTTTCGAACTCAGGGGTGGTTGCATTTAACTAAAGTCTTTGGCTCCTAACTGGGCTTGGCTGGTAGTTGGAATCTTCAACCCTAATCTGGGTCTGGTATTTCAATCTTCAACCCAAAGCTGGGTTTGGCAGATTAAATTTCTGCTTTGGAAAAATTGACGTGTTTATTCTTCGACCTTGCTGTGCTATGAGCCTGAATTGGTAAATCTTTGGCCTTGATCTAGGTCTGGTGTTTAATAGTGCTTGTTTCAATCTAGTTTTGTACAGTCTGAATAATATCAATAAAACAATTAAAATCTCTGATCCTTTTCTGGACCTAGTTACATTTTGTAAATTTTGCTCCGTTTTTTAGTTTCATAATTTAATTATTGAATCCATTGAATTATAGGGCCCTGATGAAATAATATATTTTGTTAGAAACGGTTTTGAAGGTTTATCGATCTTATTGTTTGTGCCTCCCATAATATTTTGAGTATTCCCGAGTTTCATTTCCTGCATGACGTTTTCAGTGCACTTGCTTGCATTGGTGCCACCCGGGCACGAGATAATTGATAGTTATAGTAATAACGAATGAACACCGTCATCAGTGTTTTGATTTATCCACCTCCTTTCGAACTCAGGGGTGGTTGCATTTAACTAAAGTCTTCGGCTCCTAACTGGGCTTGGCTGGTAGTTGGAATCTTCAACCCTAATCTGGGTCTGGTATTTCAATCTTCAACCCAAAGCTGGGTTTGGCAGATTAAATTTCTGCTTTGGAAAAATTGACGTGTTTATTCTTCGACCTTGCTGTGGTATGAGCCTGAATTGGTAAATCTTTGGCCTTGATCTAGGTCTGGTGTTTAAAAGTGCTTGTTTCAATCTAGTTTTGTACAGTCTGAATAAAATCAATAAAACAATTAAAATCTCTGATCCTTTTCTGGACCTAGTTACATTTTGTAAATTTTGCTCCGTTTTTTAGTTTCATAATTTAATTATTGAATCCATTGAGTTATAGGGCCCTGATGAAATAATATATTTTGTTAGAAACGGTTTTGAAGATTTATCGATCTTATTGTTTGTGCCTCCCATAATATTTTGAGTATTCCCGAGTTTCATTTCCTGCATGACGTTTCCAGTGCACTTGCTTGCATTGGTGCCACCCGGACACGAGATAATTGATAGTTATAGTAATAACGAATGAACACCGTCATCATTGTTTTGATTTATCCACCTCCTTTCGAACTCAGGGGTGGTTGCATTTAACTAAAGTCTTCGGCTCCTAACTGGGCTTGGCTGGTAGTTGGAATCTTCAACCCTAATCTGGGTCTGGTATTTCAATCTTCAACCCAAAGCTGGGTTTGGCAGATTAAGTTTCTGCTTTGGAAAAATTGACGTGTTTATTTTTCGACCTTGCTTTGCTATGGGCTTGAATTGGTAAATTTTTGGCCTTGATCTAGGTCTGGTGTTTAATAGTGCTTGTTTCAATCTAGTTTTGTACAGTCTGAAAAAAATCAATAAAACAATTAAAATCTCTGATCCTTTTCTGGACCTAGTTATATTTTGTAAATTTTGCTCCATTTTTTAGTTTCATAATTTAATTATTGAATCCATTGAATTATAGGGCCCTGATGAAATAATACATTTTGTTAGAAACGGTTTTGAAGATTTATCGATCTTATTGTTTGTGCCTCCCATAATATTTTGAGTATTTCCGAGTTTCATTTCATACATGACGTTTTCAGTGCACTTGCTTGCATTGGTGCCACCCGGGCACGAGATAATTAATAGTTATAATAATAACGAATGAACACCGTAAATAGGAGAGGAACAAAGAATGCAGTTGGGCCATCTCTTGGATCCCGAAAGCTCATTAACCTTGCCTTGGCTTAACATAAAATTTATCAATTCATTTCTTCCAGCTTGTCTATTTTGCATTCTTTTTAGATCTGAAAAACTATTCTTGGTGATATGCGGCTCGGAAAATATGAGTTTTAAGCCTGTCTAGACTACGTTTTATCTCGGATCTCGCGTAGTTGAACTGGTAGCTTATTCTATTTATGGGGCCCGCTTACTGAAAATGCTCCGTTTCCAAAAACTGTTTCGTATTTCTTGTTTTGAGGGGAAAAGGGACTTAATATTGTAAAATTCATCAATATTTTTTTTGATTTCTTTTTCGGTATTAAAGGTTTCTGCCCAGGTGTTTTTGGCTTTATTACCGCTTGTTAACTATAAATTCAATTTAAGTCAAGCATGTGGTGTCGAGGTAACGCAATTGCTGGAAACGGCAAAGGTTTAAGCTTCGAATCCGGCCGGGACCTGTTTTTTTTGCAAACTAGAGTTTTGTGCTTTTTCGGACTATCGTTTGTCTGTTTATTTTTGCCGGCTTAGTTTTCGTAGCCCGATTGTTTTTGAAGGCATAGCTTCGTTCCAAGTTGCTGCAACACCCATCTTTGAGATGATCAACCCTGGGAGCTCGATTCGAGTCGAGACCTGTTTTTTCTGTAAACAGATTTTTGTCTGTCTGCTTAATTTTTTCGGCATAGTTCCGCTGAAGCAAAGTTGTTTTGAAACTTTGGCTTTTTTTTCGAGAATTCCGAGAGCTCTTTGAAATCTTTGTAAAGGTGCAGATTATTTTGTTTTCTAAGATTTTTTTCAGTTTTTGTTTATTCATAGTCATTCATTTTTGAATCGCAAGTGGTGCGAAGCACAGTTTCGTCTGTGTGAAAAATTTTGATCAAAACTCGATGAATAAACATTTTCAAAAATTGGCAAAGCATCCGTTTATTTTGGTATCACCTGTTTTACAAGGTATCACTTGTTGAACTTGTGCTTACACCGAGCTTGGATTCAATAAGTATCTTTTAGCATTTTTTCAACAGTTTTTTGGATCTTTTGTCAGATTTTACGAGTTGTTTTTGGCCCATATAAACAATACCCCCCTAATAGATCTTGTGAACAATCCCCCCTGAAATTAAAAGGCAAATTCAAGCCGGAAGGGCTGCATGTTCTATGCTCAAGTCTGATTGGCTGAAAATTGTCGGAATTAACCAAGTGAATAATCTTCATCCTAAATTGAATTAGGAAGAAGATTGTTCACTTGGTCCGTTTTTTGTTGCCTGATTAGCTTGTATAAAATAATTTTACCGCGAAATGCTTCAAAGCTGTAGGATTTTTTTTTTTAGAGTTGACGATTTACTGAAAAGTCATAGCAAGAAACTGACTGATGAAAATAAGAGAAGGACTTCAGTTCTGTCTCATCTAGAACAGTTGATAGTGAAGTGCAATAAGTGTGTGGATGGTTACAGTGGCTCTGTCTCTATCGGAATCTCAGTCGACGACGTCACCGCTGCAATCATTGAAGTGCAGGTAAATCAAGTGTGGATGGAATTAATTTAATGGTGTTGGTGCTTTTAGAAGCTGTGTGTGTATATTGTTTCATTTCTTGCTTCATTTTAAGTTCTAAAACCTGTCTCATTTAAATTATTATTTTTTAAAAAATAATTATGTTTGCGGGATCTTCTTTATTTCGTCTCTCATGGTACTTAGTGTTGAATCTCTCCCTATAGAGAGGTAATTTAACGGTTAACCATGTGTTAATTATGAACCTAATAACGAATATCCCACATAGAAAGGGAATTTTTCAAGATATCCCGCTTGGGAATAACCAGCGTTATCAAAACAGAACTTTTTTTTGAGGCCAACAGCTTGCAAACAGAATCAATGAATCATTTGATGGCTTGATTGATTATGCTTGCGATAAGCAACCATTATCAAATTGGAATATATATTTTTTTCGAGTTAGCAACTAGTTTATCAAAATCATTTTCATCACTTATGACGCTGACATGCTCAATTTTATGAAAATTCAAATGTAACTACCGCATGCTAGGGTACTAGTTACTATTGCCTGTTATATGTAGAGCTCAAACTGTTATATGTGTGATTATAGTTTTTATATTTATTTTCTGCTGATGATTTTTCGGCTTCATGGTTGTCGACTTAAGCTTTCTCGGTTTAGTTTACAAATTATGTAGTTTAGTTTGCATACGCTATGGATATATCTATCGTGGATCCTATGTAAGCGTTACATGAAAAAAAATTTTATATTTTTTTCTCAGAAAGTTTTTGACTGATTTTCAGCTTATTAGATGCCGCCTTCAATTCTATCGGCCTATTTCTCGACCTTTTTCTTTAAATATAGTAATTTTGAAATTGATAAGACTCTGGCAACAATTTATGATTGCCCAATTTCAACCCCCACTACTACGACCTATTTTAAAAAAAAAGATTTAAAATTTAAACGCGAAATGTTTTAAAATGTTTTTCTGCTTTTTCACTTCCTTCTTCAATTGTATCATCGCTAGAAGTTCTGTTTGCTAACTTTTTACCATCATGGTGCGCTCATCCCTTAATTTTTCTATCGCAACTTCAAGTTCAGCGTCTTTTTCGGAACATTGGCGCAGAGTTAACGTCCATACCTAAGAGTAAAAATTGTGAACATCGGATCTGTCCAAGACATGTTATTTCTGCAAAGAAGAAGTTTTCCACTTGAAAGAAAATATTTCGGATTATTATGTTTGCTTTTTTGGCTTTCTTGTCTTAGCAGACTTTTTGCTGATGTAACTAATTTTATAATTGAAAATCTTTTTAATGTATTACTGTAGTGGTGCAGGTACTGAATTCCCGGAATATTTTTTGGGAGGCCTTTTGTCCTTATTTTTATTCTTTTCTAATCTGCAAGAAAGCAGAAAATAGAATTTTGTCGTAAATTTTAATACTTGTTCTTTGCCGTGGTTTGAGTTTGCCGGATGAAGTTTTATGAATCATACGTGTGGTAGAATTTAACTGGATTGTGCGTACTCGGGAAATATTTTGAAGTTCTTGAAGGATACTTTGTCATTTCGCCTTAATTAAAGACTTAATTTCGGCTCTATAGTAGTCTGTAAAAACCCAAGTCTGGAAATGAAAGCTTATTATTTGCACCGAGTCTTTTATTCGCTTAAATGGTGGCGGCTGTTGTATGGGAGATAAATAGCTTGTATGGTGCATTTGTGAAAAAATTAGAGTAAAAGATGGAAATTGTGTACTGGAACCCCATAGGAGACACAGTCTTTTCGTTGTTCCCATTTTCGAAGATAGGATGGAACAATTGTGCTCGGTATGGCTTTTTTCCTTTGAAAAAATTTGGTCTGGATGTTTCAAAAGTTATAACGTAAAGTTAAAAAAAAATGGCTAATTTGGTAAAATTAACAAGTGATACATTCCGTTCTATTAACGCTTGAGCGTCGATCCACTCCTGCTCAAAAGCGTTCCAATTTGACTTAATGCTTTCCTTTTGGAGCTTTCAATACGTTGCTAGATGCTGATTACGTCAATTTTTTTAGTACACAGCGTGTAGGTAAAATGTCGGAATTTTTTTCAAATTTGTTTTTAAACTTGCGATAGCTAAGTGTCCTGCATTCGGGAACAAATGTTTTTTTTCCTGAAAACAACTTTTATTACTAATCTACAAGAAAATAAACTTTTTTCTGATTAAACCTTAACATTTCTTCTGCTCTATCTTTTTTGGTATAGAGATAATGCGGCTGCCTGTACACCCGAAGATCTGTGGTTTGAGTCCCGGTTGGAACTTTTTTTTCTGTATGTATAATTTTTTTTGCCCGAAAAATTCAATGGTCGGATTTCGTGTGTCTGCTAATTTTTTTGTTCAGTTACCAAAGCACAGAATTTTTCTGCTTTAAACAAATCTTATTATAACTGAAAGTCTTCTAGTGATTTTGTCAATTTCCAACTCGGATTTTGAGTAAGCTTTTTTTATTTTTTGTTTCATTTAAAATAGTTTCGGCTGATTCAACTCGTTTTGTGTCAATTCGTTTTGTGCTTTTTGAAATAGCAAACTTTGATTTTCATTTTCTAAATAAAGAATTCAGGACGATTGTGTTGTGGATTATTTAAGTTCTCGAACATTTTATAAGGATTTTTTTTGTTTTTGGTTCACTGGGCGTCTACTCAAGTACTGTCGGTTTATTAGCCGCTCAGTAAATGACAGTGAAAGCTTATTTTATGATGATGGTTATGTTTTCTGTTTATGTTTTTATAATTTTGTTTATTTTCTTTTTTTTCAGTTTTGTGAATTTCGTCTCATTTTCTATTCGCTAGCTAGCAATGTTACGCTTGCGTTGAATCGAAATTAATGCGAAGCTCCACTTCACTTCTTTGTTGAAGTTGTGAAAAATCGCAGTACTCTGAAAACGAATGAATCATTTCATGGATCTTTTGGAGCAGTCGGAACATTCAGGGCTTTGTCCTAATACGACCAGTGTTGTTTTTTTTTCCTTTTTTTCTTTTTTTTTCTTGCCTTTTAAAGCTTCCTGTGGCCATTTTTTGCCTGTGTTTGCGAAGTACAGCTCCGCATCTTTGTAAAAATGCCAGGTTTGAGTTAAAGCAAGGTGGAAATAGCAATTAATTTTCTGTTTTCAGATAAAAATACTTCCAAATGTGCTTTAACTAAACACGTCATTCTAAAAACTACGGTATGGTTATTTTTCAGGAGTCACAGAAAATTCTGACCTGCGACATTGAATCCATGAAGCAAAAACTGTTGAATGAGAAGAATTTCTACGATTCGTTCAACTGTTCTCTCCCATCTGACATTTCGAAGAAGCAGAACGAACTGAAGTCAGCCGAATCGCTCTTCAATTCAGCTGTTGTGTCACACGAGAAGCTGTACGTACAAATATTGAAATTCAAAGATGCTTTTGTTTTCAGCAAAGTTTCATTTGAGACTAAGTTTTTGGTGAATTTATTCGTAAATTTAAACTGCGAAAGTTATATTTGAATACGTTAGCAACATCGATGGAATTGTTTGAAATTTCCATTCACGGTCGGAGAAGTTTTTAAAATCAAAATAGGGTCTTCTGCATTTTAAAAGATCTCAGAAAATCAATTTGGTCGATCGAAAAAAATTCATTAAAATTTTGAAAACCCCCCTTGAGAAAATCCTACATCCGCCTTCGCTTCTATTGTGCTAAGAAAAATTAACTAATGAGTGTTTTTTTCCCAATAGAGGTTTTAGCTGACGAAGATTTTATATGGTTTTGTTGAGAATTTCAGGTCGCCAGTTTTCTTCACCTCACTTAAGCTTCAAGTTTTTGGCGCAATGAGTTGTTTTGCAAGGCTAGTTACGAAGACTAATATTGTGTGGCATGTCCTAATTAGTCCGTTATGCCTTATTGTTTTTATTATTCGTACATTTTAACCAAAATTTTTACAAGTAAAAATTCGCAGGCAGAGCGGGAATGGAAATAGCCGGAACTTGTAACCAATTTTTTGCTGTAGTCTCGATCAGTGTGCGCGTGTACGTGGTGGCTACGCTGACAAACAGATGAAACTAAATGAGACTCTTGAAGAACTGGAACATAGTCTGATGGACTTGAACAAGAATGTGCAACACGTGAACAGAGTGCGAGACATTCCCGAGTTGAGAAACGACCTCGATGTAAGCAAAACTTAGTTCTTTGTTCATGTTGTACAATTGTGATATACGAATCAAGTAATGAATTTAAAAGAAGGCGGATTTTTAAAACTAAATGAAAAAATTGTGGATTTTACTTAACCAGATGTCACCCTTACCAGGGTTATTTGACGTCAGAACTTCCCATTAGCCATTCTCCAGACTCTCGTTGAAACGAAGTAGATTTTTTGATAAAGACAGATATAATTTAGCGACAACAAGTGTACGCATTTCAACGGAATTTACTTCAACGTTTTAACTTTTTAGATTCTCAACGATGAGCTGACACGTTGCAAAAAACTGTCAACTGACCTTGAAGAATCCGCCAACGAGTTGATGCAATCATGCAATGAACCCTCAAAAGCTTTGATCAGCGACCAATCAAAATCGCGCTTGGAACGTCTCGATGACGTAACAAAGATACTCGAAGCTTCGTCTGCAGATTTTGACTGGCTTACGAGTTTTGTTCATAGTTATTTGAAACAAGAAGATGCAATACATGCTAATATCCGTGCAATACAATCTAAGTCGGTTTCAAAACCCGCGGCATTTTGCGATGACGCTGAGATTATTACGCAATCGACACGACTTACCACATTATCGGAGGAGATGACAGCTGCCGAGAAGCAAACGCAGCAGCTAGAAGAATTTGTGAAAGAATCGCAGAATAAGTGGTCAAAAAAGGTCCCGAAATGCGACGTTTTTAAATGTGTGGCAGAAATTGATGATAATCTGAAACAGTAAGCCGCCAATGTGCTATTTTTTAAAGACAATTTTTCAGGAAAAAAAGTGGAAAAAAATTCGTTTAATTTTTAGATGCAAGGAAAATTTGAGTGAGAAACTGGCAGATTTTGAGCAAGAAAAGGAGAAGAGAAAGTCTTCAACTGACAGTTTGGACGCATTTTTAGAGCTAATTGCTTCTTCCGAGCGAGTCTTGGCTGAGTTGGACAACAGTTCGTCGTCGCCGGCATCGAACGCTCTAGAGAAAATCCAGGTATTTTTCTTCCTTTGCAAACCAGAATCAAAACTCGCATCAGTGCTCTAATGAAAATCATCTCTTTACCCTTGCGATAAGCAAGGGTATTGCAATCGGGTAAAATAATTTTTTTCCCGTCAATAACTTTGTTCACTGAAAGGTGAAAATTAGAAATTGTAAATTTAGGTTCACTTCATAATGAATTTAATTTTTTTCCTCTCCGGTACACTTTGTCTGGAGGTAACGAATGCTCCTGGGACGGCGAACGCTCTGTGTTCGAATCTGACAAGACCTGTTTTTTTTTCAACGGGAAATAGTCCGTTAAAAAATGTTGGCTTACTATTGTCTGCTTATGTTTTGTCGACTTAGTTGCCATAGAATTGTTTTTTTTTAACATTATAGTGCTTTGATTTGCCTCTGCTGTTTGAAATTTACTAGCCTTGACTTCGTATTTTTTTTTCTGTTCTTTTTTCGCTTGAAAAATTTTCGGAAACGTATTTTTATGCTCACCTCTGGATTGGATCACCCAAAACGCTATAAATCTGAATAGAAATCGTAGTTCACGTTTTTCATGGCATAATTTTTATCGGCTTTTTTTTCTCTTTTTCAGCTTGATAGGTTTCGGCCTATAATATATTGACTCATTGGCCTCATATTGCGTCTTTCGACGAGCGAAAAAATCTTAAGTGTTAGTGTCTGTGTTTTGAGGGCGACTGGGACTTAATTACTTCTTAGTCTTAGTTTTTTGAATGTTTTTCGTTTTCCTTTTTTGGGCTTAATAGGTTTCGGTCTATATTATATCGGCGTAGTGGCCTCATATTGTTTGAGTACGATCAAATAAAGATTTTTGAGTATTTGTGTGTTTTGAGGGCGAAAAGGATTTAATAACTTTTCATAAGTCTTAAGTCTTGTTGATTTTTTTAATCGATTTAAAGGGTTTCTGACAACTTTTTGGCTTTGTTACCGCTGGGTACATTTTCTTCTGATTTTAATTTCCAAATTTAGTGTCTCGGAATGTTCTTGTTTCAAAATTAGCCTGACCTGAATCATTTTGATAGATCTATTTTTTCGACATTTTCGAATTTTTTGTCTTATTTTTTATCGCAAGTGATGTGAAGCTCAGCTTTGCCTCTGTGTTTAAATATTGCAATTAGCAACTGTTGCCTAGTTTTTTTTATAGTTATCGTTCCGACCCACCTTACCCCCTATTTTATTTTTTCAGCATTTTTTCCAGACACATTTTGTAGAATGAAATTTCAAACTGCATTCGCATCTAATTCTTCTAGGATTTTGTCATGATGTTAGCTATAATTAACTAATTTTTACATCCATGACCAAAATAACCATTTTAGTCCCCTCTCACTAACTAAAATAAAAACAAATACATTTTTTTAGTTGAAAAAATTTTCGGTGATATATTACAATAGGTGACAGATTCGAGTTAAATAGCTGGATCGCTCTTTGCAATGCTTCAAACAGTACAGTATTTACAATTTATTTCCAAGATAATTTTTCTGGCAAAAGAATTGTAAAATTTGATTTTTTGAATAAAATTTTATCTGGAAGAGTAATGTATATACAAAAACTATCTTAGTAACATGTACAAGTGTTTGATAATAGAACAATTATTTTTTTTTTTGCAAAAGATTTTTCAAATTTAATACAGGGATACTCAAATATTTCTCAAAAGACCAACTATTGTAACAAATAACCAAATTTTCTCTTATTTTTTAGATATTTTTTTCTATAGTTGTTTCTATTGTTTATTTCGATATGCATGTAAAATGGATGTTTTTTAGGAAAACTTGAATAGTCGGATTCTCGTTTGTGTGCTTATTTTGCCAGCTCATTTTCAAAATTAAGCATGGACTTTCTTTCCTTCTGATTTACGCAATTTTAATTGTAGTTGAAAGTCATTCTGTAATCAGAAAATTTAGATCTGATTTTTTGTGTTTGTTTTATAAGCAGTTTTTGGACAAATGGTTTCGGCATATTTTATATTGGCTTAGTTTTTTAATAGTTTGTCGTTTGAAGGGAAAAATAGATTTTCATCCTTTTGTGTTTCAGGAAGGGTGGATTGAAAATCTTTAAAATAAACTTCAAGTTTTTTATGGGAACGATTTTGTTTTTGGTTCAACGGGTGTCTACCCATGAATTTTCAGCTTATTTGCTGCTTGTTAAATGATTTTGAATGCCTTTTAGAGCTGTCGTTGGTTTTCTGTGACATTTTTTTAAATTGAACATCATTCGAGAGAAGGTTTTGTATGTGTAGCCTTTCGACATTTTTTTTCAAATAATCTTTCGACTCAGTGGCTTGCGTGATATTTTCTACTATTCGCTAGCTTGCAAATCTATGTTTGTGAACAATTGAATTTTTTCGAGTTGTTCATACTTGGAGTTTTTTTGTTATAATTCTCGCGACTAAAATATCAGCATGGGCCCCTTGCATTATCTTAAAAGTGAAATCTAATTTTGAAAGTTTATTAAACAAGTTCGCACTTCTTTTATGTAAAATGAAAACATCACAAACTGTTTTAGAGTTTGAAAGCGACGTGTGAGAGTGAAATGAGTCGATTGGATGGCCTGTTGTCAGAGATTCAGTCAGATTACCACCGCAAATCATCCACTCTCCCCATCACCCTCGTCCACAAATGGGACGAGGCGAAAGAGAAGTCAAACAAGCTCACTCTTGTCTTGAAAGAAAAGGTCAGAGCGAAATTCGAATTATCATTCGTCCATTTCAAGTTACGTTATATGTATTCTTTATGTCAACGAATCTGGTTAAAACTCAGTGTCGTTAGTTAGGTAACTCAAGTGATTAGTTCAGTCTGGCTAAACGCGTTTGGATTGCGGAGCTTAATTTTTTTGAACAATTTGTCGGATCTCTTTAAATATCCCCCATTTGATATCTGAAAACGAATTGCCACCCCTATAATGAACAAAATCAACGGTTAAGTAACAAGGAATGATAAAACGATGGCTGTTAAATACTGAATTGACTGTATTCTAGTTCGCATAAATAAGAGAGTGAACTAGAGGTCAACGCATAACAGCTAGACAGTTCTAGGCTAATTGACAGGCAGGTACCAAACTCACACTTAATTATAGTGTGAGAACTCTCAGAGATAAGTAGATAAAGAAATAGCAACTAGGATGAATGACAACTGAACATTGTAGCCCCTGACATTTCCGTATGGATGTAAAATTTAAATACATAGTAATTTAAATTTAATATAATAATTAATAATATTCAACCTGCCGCCTCAACTAACACAATACAACAAACTTGAGTTTTAGGCTTATGGCCATCCCTCTCCCTGGGTAACGAGTTTTAAATAAGGTTCACTTTCCTTCTCCCCCTGGATGTTTTCCTTTTTGTTCCGCCCCTTGGATATTTTCGATCATGACTCCTCCCATTTTATCTACTGGCTTTTTTCTTCTGGTACTCCTTCTGGTCCCCGAGCTTTCACTTTGACTGCCAGATTCGACGTCTTCTTCTTGGCTACTATTCATAAGGCATTCTCTCGCCGCTAACGCCGGTCGGTCTTGGCTCCCCTTTCCTTGTTGTTGTCCCCCTTTCCCTCGCCTCGCTTTCGTCCCTCTAGATTTTGCTCTTGCTCCCGTTCCATGTTCTGCTACTGCTGTACTGCCGCTTGGGCCTTGTCCCGCCGCAATCGCTTCATGTCTCGCTAACACTTCTATTGGCAATCGTGTAGGGATAATATTTAGTGGCTGGAAATCTTCAATATCCGAACTGTCAGACTGGAAGGTGGCTACCGACACTTTTTTCATAGCCTTTGGCCTTTTTGATTTCGGGCTTTCGACTACCCCTTTCTTTGCGCTCGATAACATCTCCTTGAGCGTAGCCGGCTTCCGTTTCTTGGGAAGTATGGGTTTTTGCTTTTCTGCCACTGCACTTTTACTAAGAACAGATCCGTTTTTTAGCTTGATAGTATGTTTGGATTCAGAGATAACATTAGATTTTAAGAGTTTGTACCGATTTAGGGTCTTCCTGGTTGTACGCTGGTACAGGTCGCGTGCGCCTCCACTCCCTTGGACGTTAGGGCCAGTGCCTTTACTCCCTTGGATTTTCGGGGCAACTCCCGATCCCTCCCCTGGACACGTGTCCATTTGCTGATCGCTATCAAGCATGATAGGGGCCCTTCTTAAAGCTGGAGCGTATGTCAGACCGGACCTTTCCTCCCAATTCGACTGCTGAGGGAATGCAATTTTACTCAACTCAGGATAATTTTCGTCTAAACACAAACATTTTTGTTTTAAGACGTTCTTTCAATTCAAATTTTTCAAACTTGGTTTTTTCGTAAGATTGCGTAAAACGGTGTTAGCCTCCCGGCCGTGGTGGGCTTCAAAAGGTGTTAATTTAGTAGTTGCATTTTTGGAAAATCGTAGCGCGCCTAGCGCTTTATCGACCATCGATTCTAGAGACTTATGCTCTTTGTCAGTCTCATAGGTTAGGACAAAATTCTTCAAACTCCCTATTGTCCGTTCAACGGACCCCGTGCATCGATGGTCGTTCACTGGTGAGTTTATTAGCTCGATGCCTTCGCTGTTACAGAAGCTTTTAAACGTATTAGATGTAAAACATGATCCCTGATCAACGTGTATTTTCCGGGGTACTCCATGTTGAGTTATGTATTTATCGAGAAATTTTAAGACTTTATCTGACGTGTTAGTGGTAGTAACCATTGCTGATGGCCACCTTGAGAACCGGTCCGTAGCAACCAAGACATATTTCTTACTCTCGTTCAAGTAGTTTATTGGCCCCCAGAAATCCAATTGTATACATTCATTGGATTCCCTTGGTTCAGGGACCTTCCCCATGTCTCCCTTGGGTAATAACGATTTTAGATTCTTACCCGCTTCCGTGCATTGCTGACAGTACGTGGCCTTTGCTGCCAAACTGCGGTACATGTAGGGATAACAGACGTCACGCGCTGCTTCATAAATGTTCCTTTTACCGTGATGGTAATAATGTATCCGCGACTCAATTGGGACTTGTAATGGCAAAGGAATGACTAGCCGTCCATCTAGCCACACACAATCGTCCCGCAATGACAAATCGTTTGCGTATTGGGCCCAGTACTTCCCAATCTTCAGGAGTTCTTCTTTCAATTTAATCCTCTTCTCCAACGCTTCTTTTACTCGTACTAAGTTCACATCCGCCGGTATGTTTGAGGCAATAAATTCTAGATTAAATAATTCTGGTAACGCTTGGGATTTCTTGATTACCTTGCAATCCCGGGAATGATAGATATAACTTGTTGATTTGGGTTAACGGTCGGAAAAAGCTCGCCTGCGAATTTCGAAGGTATAGAAAGTACTGTATTAATTTTTGAATCCCGTGTATTTTTAGTAATGGCAACAATTTCAGTGTTAATGACAGTTATTTCATCGCTACTCAATAAGTTTTCATCTAGTCTAAGCGGAGAGTTGATTTTAGATATGCGAATTTTGTAGCAAGTAACGAATCCCCCCTAGCAAAAGGGGGACAGTTAAAGAGATCCTATTTGTCAAAACTGTCGAAAGTAATGACAATGCAAATTATTTGCCAAAAAAGCAGTTTTCATATCAGGAATTTTGCTCGCATCTGCGATTGAATTAATAATTTTGGTCATAAATCAAAATATACTGAAAATAAGCAATAAATACTGAAAATAAGCAATAATATGATAATTTTGCAGGAGTTCGCAGCCCAAGAAGTGAAGGATCTCGAGTTGGTTTGTTCGGAGACTATTCAGAATGTGACCAATACATTGAGTGAATGTCAACAGGAGCTGGCCAATGATGAAGACTACTTGGTCAAAATTGCAGACCAGACGTCTACACTGGCTGCTTGTGACAGGAACAAAGTACGCAGATACTCAAAACATTTTTTAATTTAATTTGATTGACCTTTAAAAAAAGACATTTACTCAGTTTTTTTAGTAAATGTATCTCTTAGAATGGTTGAAAAGTTTCTCAAAATTTTGCCAACCATTTCGTCAAATCTCTTAAAATGGTTGAAATATTTGTCGAAGTTTTGCTAATCTATCCAGGTGCTGAAAAAACCAAAAATGACTTGTCTTTTTGTTGTCCGACTACCGTTGCGAAAATATTATGTCTTACTCTATTTGTTACTTTTATCTTACTACATAGTTAATACAGTTTTTTGTCTCTCTGTATAGAGCATTTTGTCGTTTCCATAAATTAAGATATTTTTTTTTGTTGGTACAAAAATTTTGACATATTTTTTTTCTGTAATCAAAATGAATTTTTCAAACTTTTTCAGGAAAACTTGAAACGCGTGTCCGAATGCAAGTGTTCTCTGAAGAGCATAGAAGGTATGGCGAATGCGCCTTCGCAGAAGAACAGAATACCCGTCATGTCCAATACCAAGGCACTCCATGTAAGTTTTTTTTTCTGTCATTGTTGTTTCTGAGATTCACAGAGGATCTTTCAAAAGCTATCAGTCCTGTCTAAGCATAGTCCATTTTTAATATTTCCTCCCAATCAAGACTGTTGTTAAAACATAGTTATAGTTAGATATAAAGGCCCAGAATTAGTTTCATTTTTGCCAAAAAACTGTTTACCTAACAGTTATTTAACGTTATTTATCAAAACTGTTTTAAAATATCAGTAGAACGGTAGTAGAACTCAGAACAATCGGGACACTCAGCGCTCTGCTTTGATCCCAGCATCGTTCTCATTTTTGTAGACCACCTCCGACCGCCTTCTTGAGAAGCTCCAGGAGCGGCAGACACAACTGAACAACAGTTTGGACAACTGGCAACGGGCGGCCACTCTGGCCCAGGAATTGTCTGCTGTCGTGGATGAGTCGTCGGGTTTGATGGGGGACGAGAACGTGTTCGGATTGACATCAGAGAAGTTGCAGGAGTTTCAGACTTCTGTTGAGGTATTTGATTTGAAGATTGTTTTGTATATCTTACCATCTTCTTTTTGATTCAAGGCGCCGAAGGCGTGGAGAACTGTTGGATTCCATTGTGTTTTCCAACGCAAGTTTTGTCTCCACAATTGACCGCGAGATGAGGCACCAATCGTGTTGCGAGCTGCAATGAAAAAAATGAACATTTTAATTTTACTGCTATTTTGAGAAGTTTTGATGAAGATTAATATTTGAAAAGACAAATGTATGTCAAAAAAATTAAGCTGTTATAATGGGGCAAAATAATTTGGTGCTTCAAAATTATGAAAGCGGAAGGGTTCGAAAAGAAATAGGTCTTTTGAACAAATATTTTTTTGTTTTTTTGAACATTGTTTCCTAACACTATCTCTCGCTTCTAGGTCTTGATGTCTGCAGTTGCCGATAAAGCCGAAGCAAAATCTGAACTGTCGGCGCTTTTGGATAGTCTGTGTACGAACCATGGCCAGGCGGCCGACGATGCAATCGGCAAACTGAAGAGCCAATTGGAAGCATTCGAAAAGTAAGTTAATTTCAACTCGTTCATGTCATTCAATGTTGTGATGTGCACAATTTCCGTGACAAAACGAACAACGAGGATAGCTCATTGCTGTCAGTAGCTTAGAAATTTCGACCACAACGATTGAAGCAAAGAAATAAGAAGCTAAATGTATATTAAAATTGCCGAAAAATTAAACCGAGAGTTCAATGAGTAATGTTTCGTAAATGAGTCTGTTAGCCTGAACGAAACTGAAGCAACCTTTTTGATTTTTTTTGCATCCAAATCACGACTTATAGGAAACAGTGCTTTATTATGATAGCACACCTGATCTGTACGAGCTTTCTTTGAGGTAACCGACGAAATTGGGAGGAAAATACACAAGCTACGCCATAGTTATTTCCCACTTTGTGGTCGGTACAAAAATTAAAGAATTTTTGAACGCGCTGTTCTCGAATTTGACTAATTTGAGCCAAATGTGAATAAGACAAAATTTAGTCACAAATTTCGATAAGTTCGGATCCTAACTTTCATTTTAAAATGGTTCAAAAAGGTAGACTTCTCGCGTGTCTTTTCTAGCAAAATTTTAACATTCATTTTGTAATTTTTTCATGTATGAATTCGATCTTCTGCGGCTACTTTTTAGTTTATCGACTGAATCAAATGAATTGAATTTGTTTTGGCTTTAGATGCGTATTGTGTTAATATTTCTTGCTGAAATCTATTAAGAATGGAATTTCACGCAACATAAAGGCAAAGAGGGCTTTCAAAATAATTTCAACGGTTGTATTCTAGTTTTTTGTTCTGACCACTCGAAGAGTGGAAAGGACCTTTGGATTCGGGCTGGTTTTTGGAGCCATTTTGACTGCCTCAAAGAAAGCTCGTAGGTATCGAGTGTGGTATCAAAGTAAAGGCTTTTTGGCCGTAATTCGGATTCTAAATTTGAAAAAGTTTTCTCAGTATTGAGAAAGCTGGGTTGCATGCTTTCGTTTTTCAGGCCGATTTAGACTAAGTTTGACCAAATGATCAGACTAAAATAGACGAGAGGGTAATCTCATCAATTTAATTCTTCTTCAAATTGATTTTTTTTAGTTTTTATTATTTTTCATTCTCGCAGTGTCTCATCTAATTCAGTGACTCGTTACCAAAAGTATTTTGTTACTTTTTTGAAATATAAATTTGTTCGGAACATTTTGTGCTACTTGCACAGCAACCGATTAATCTTGTTTTCATGAAACATGTTTCAAATTGCACGATTTTGTATTGACAAAGTTATTAAAATGCAAAAATAGATTGAGCTTGTTAATACACCTATCGACATATAATTACACTTGCGAAGCAATGTGTTATAGTACGAACTTTCTTTTTTTTCCAACCTAATTCGCTTATATTGTTCGGACAAATGTATATCGCTTATTGATAACATGTGCTTTGACATTCGAATACTTATACATTCACACAGTTGATGCATTTTTTAATTCATCAAGTGAACCGAAGAAAGCTATTTGTTTCAGACAACATAACAATAATAAAATCTCGATTTCGGAAATTTCCTAACTCAATATCTCAAACTCTCGCAGTTTTTCGAAATGCATATGTTGTACTTAATGTGGCCTTATGATATGCGATTTTTTACATGCAAAATGTTGTATCTTTTTGTTTGTGATGCTATTTTTGCTGCATCGAATTGCCAATTTTTTAGCATATGTAGCTGCGTTATTGGTGGGTACTTTTGGGGATTTTAAGCATCCGTGGCTGAATGGTTAGTGCATGAGGCTCAAATTTATAATTCGCAGATTTTTGCTAAATCGAATTTTCGCTAAGCCTCGTGTTTTTGCAAATTCGAGGCTTATTTCTACTTTTTTCTTATGTCACTTGAGAGAGCTGCTTTTTGGTCGTGTTCTCGCAAATGTTTGCGAAGCACAGCTTCGCCTCTGTTAAAAATTGTTCAAATGGTTTTAATCGCTCCTGACTTATTTTGTATGATTTCAAACAGTAAAATTAGTTTAAACGAATAACCTTTGGCAATCCAGGTTCAGCAGAAATATAACTAGCAGGTCGCTTGGTGAAAATTTCAAAAGTTCGCGACCGTACTCAAGCAATCGGTGAGTTCTGTTTTGTTCTTTTCAGACCAATATAATGCTGTGCAGTGGATGAAAAAGTCACAGTAGCTGTAATTTACTGTGCATTTTTTGATATTAGTTCAAAATTAAATTGGTGTTGATGAATGAAAATTGTTTTTTTTTTGGTTATTTTAGGATTTGTTTTCAGGAAAACAACTTATTGATCTAAATTTTTATAGGCGGGCTGTTTTTTTTTTTTATAAAAATGATAATCACGATAACTGTTTGAAATTGAAGGCTTAGGAGATGATATATTTTTCTGAAGCTGCACAGTTGATATCTTTTTTCTGAAGCTGTATTGGAAAAAACTCAAAAATACATTTTCAAACTGTTTTTTGCCTAGTTTGAAGATTTTTGTCCAATTTATTATTACCTTAAAGTTTAATTTTCAAATTCTAAAATAAAACAAGGATAGCCAGTTACTGTGCAAGTAGCACGGAATGTTCCGACCATAGACTTTAAATAACAAGAAAAAGTTTTTTTTTCGAATTAGTGTAATTTTTCTGCGTGGTGTGATAAAAGGATCGGACGTAAAACTATAATTTAGGCATATTCGAACGTTATAGTAATTTAGACAAAAAATACAGTAGTTTTTGAGGAAAAAAATTACTAGAGAAACAAAAACAATCATTAAAAGAAAAAAATTCAAAGTTTTTAAATTTTTTGAATTTTTGATTCCCAAAATGGCATGAAACATCTCGAAAAACTAATTTTACTCGAGTAATATTACAATTAAGCATAAATAAGCTATTGTAAACGGCCTAAATTAAGCATAAATAAGCGTGCTCGCTCGCTTTACTCGCTCGATTTACTCGCTCGAATATAGACGAAAAATCAAAAATTTCAAACCTAGTTTTCTTGACACCGCGATAACTTTTTTGAATTTTTTTCTACGACTGAAAGTGCTTAAATATAATATATCACTCAACCCAGTCCGATGATTATTTGTGGTACCTGATTTTGCGTGGAAACAAAAAGAAAAAACTAAAACACACCCGAATACAAAGTTCTTCCCATTTTCAATGGTCAGAACAAAAATTGCCAGCAGAATAAAAAAAGTACTTATGATCCTTTTTTTTGAAGTTGTGTGTTACTTCAATCATAAAAGTTATGACTTGTTACAATATGTCTACAGGGCTTCGGGAGAAAGCAGTTCGAAGTACAGGTTGGCGTGTCAAGAAACAGACGCGAGAGAGAACTTCATTAAAGAGTGCTGTGAAACTGAAGCTGAGTTGGAATCCATGCAGAAAAGTCTGCCTGATATTGTGAAATTGGACAGTGAGAAACAGATCGAAAATGCAGTCAGTTTAGCCCAAGTGAGTCTCAAATCTTGTGATTTTCAGAAGCTCAAGTATTCTAGTTTCAATGTTATTCAATCGACTAAAAGAAGGTAACTCTAAGAGCATACTGTTCTTCAAGTAAACAGCTTTGCAAAATTGAATCAAACATTTTTTAACTGAATGCCCTTAAGCTCGCACCTTTTGCTCTCTTCGTCTATAATTATCCCAGATTATATTTGAAATATTTCAAAGATGTCAAAAGTTGTTTCATCTGCCTGTTATGCAAGTGTGCTTGCAAGAATACTGTTATGCGACAATGAAATATATCCATTTTTCTGTATTTTATATCGGCGTGGTCATTACACATAATGTCGTTTGACGGTTGTAAAACCTTGTTTTGTTTTTTGTTTATGTTGCAGGAGGGGTAGCTGTAAACATTTCGTGTTTTGACAAAAATTGTTTCGTTTTTTTTCGTAAATTTTGGCTCAACGGTCGTCTAAAGTGTTATCGGCTCAGTGGAAGCTCGGAAAGTAAATCTAAACCCTTTCTTAATGCTGGTGTGTGTGTTCCTGAAATTAACATCATTCGAGACAAAAATATAACATTTTTGTCAATGTTTTTTTCAAATCATTTCTATCTTATTTTCTATTCGCCAGCTTGCAGTCGCTTCTGAATTTGAATTGAGAAATTCAAGTATATAAAAAAAACTTTTATTCCAGAAACGTTAAAATGCGTTTGTTCTGTCTCAAAACAATTCGAGCATTGTTAATTTCTTTTCTAATTTTCTTGTTCATTTTTTTGTACTAAATGGCAATTAAGTCAGGTAAAACTGCAAAACGAGAGTTTATAATCAAAATAGCGTAAAAAACTGCAGTAGAATAACACTGAGTGTCATTGTGTTTGTGAGTAAGCAAGCTTTATCGAAATTGAATTGTCAGTGTCACAACAGTTACGTGATATCTGGTCTGCAAATCGGAAAAGCGTGGGTCAGTTTTTCTCGACACTTCTTTAAAACAGCTTCTTTGATTTTTTTGGAATCAAAATTACGAAAGAAGCTTCAATATGGTACCATGCTTTATCCCGTACGAGCGTTTTTTGAGGTATTCAAAATGGGGTCGAGGAAAATAATCAAACCCTGCGTCATAGTTCTTAAGACTAATAATAAAGGACTCAGATTATTAATAAAGAAACAAACGAATTGAACATTCAGGGCATCCACATAAAATTAATTGTTGCGACCAGGGCATGTGCATAGAATAGAATTCATTGTCCCGTTACTGAAAGTAACTGGAAGGAACTAAGGTGTTTTTTTTGTCCAAATACGGCCCTCTCAAAAGAAATTTCATAGGGTTTCAAATGTAGTATAATAGTAAAGCCCTCTTGGTTGTGATTAAGTGATTTTAAAGATCAAAAAGGTGTCGCAGTCTCAATCAAAAAAAGAGGTGTGATTATTTTCGGTTTTCAGACTAATGTAGACGAAAATAGATGCGGCTGACCTGCAAGTACAATTTTCAACATTATTTTAGTAGCAGGTCAGCTACTAATTTATCCGAAAAAGTCAATAGTTAATTGTTCTACAAATTCAAAGAGCTTTAATTTCATCTTATTGTTCCGACTTTCGATACGAAAGTAACGGAATATTTGTGCTCGGGGTGGGTTTTTTTTTCTTCAGACAAATTTCGACTTTTTAACTAGCCATTTTTGACGGAATTTTTTAATATCATTCGAACGGTATTGTTGTCTTGCGCTTAAATTTGAAAAGATATTTCACCTGTGATCATTTTTCGGTAAGTTATGAGGGTTTAAAGATTGCCATTTTGACCAATTTGGGACAATTAACGCGCGATATAATTCGCGCTATTAACGCGTAAGCGGAGATTTAATCCGTCTTATAAATCGTTCCAAATTGGTTGAACGAAGCTTATTTGCCGTAATTGATATGTTACAAGGAACGAAATCTATCTTTTTGTACTTTATATGGCGTGTGGGGGGATGATTTTCATTAAAAAATTTCAAATTTTGAAAAAAAAATTTACATTTAATTTAATTTCAATTAATTTTTTTATGTTATTACTGCTGCTCCATAAACCTTAAAAGGCAGTCGGAACATTCAGGGCTTCGCCCTGATACGAGCAGTCTTCTTTCGACTTTCGATACGAAAGTAACGGAATATTTGTGCTCGGGGTGGGTTTTTTTTTCTTCAGACAAATAATGACTTTTTAACTAGCCATTTTTGACTAAATTTTTTTTATCATTCGAAAGGTATTGTTGTCTTGAGCTTAAATTTGAAAAGATATTTCACCTGTGATCATTTTTCGTAAAGTTATGGGGGTTTAAAGATTGGCATTTTGGCCAATTTGGGACAATTAACGCGCGATATATTTCGCGCTATTAACTTGTAAGCGGAGAGTTAATCCGTCTTAGAAATCGTTCCAAATTGGTTCAAAGAAGCTTATTTGCCATAATTAATTTGATACAAGGAGCGAAATCTATCCTTTTGTACTTCATATGGCGTGTGGGGGGATGATTTTCATGAAAAAAAATTCAAATTTCAAAAAAAAAAGTTACTGCCCCATAAACCTTAAAAGGCAGTCGGAACTTTCAGGGCTTCGCCCTGATACGAGCAATCTTGTTTTTAATTTGAAATTGTTTAGTTGAGATCTTCAAAAAAACAAGTCTGTTTTTTTTCTGTTTTTTTTGCGTTTATTGTCTCTTTCCCAACTCTCTGATGGCAATGTTTGTGCTTGTCTCGAAGCGCAGCTTTACCTCTGTGTTTAATCCTTGTTTTTCCGAATTTTTGGAATCTTGGTAGACTTTTTTTGACGTCGATTGTAATCGTTGCCTAATCTAGCATGCTCGTGTTACTTTACAGTAAAGTGTCATATTTTGTTTGCATATTTATAATTTTTGATTCAAAAGTCACTGCGTTTGACAAGTGAAAATCAACTCTATCGGCTTGAAAATTGATGCTGATAGCTTAGTCTAATCGTAAATTGTCATTCAGTGTGTGAAGTGTTCTTAGTTAATTTAGTTGTTCATTCGCTACACAAGCTAGCAATAAGCGTAACATTGATAGTTTAGCTGAGAGGTCAAAATTTGTACAGAACAGACTGCTTGTCCTAATTTTCATGTCATTCTAAGATGAGCGCATTCTCGACTTCAGCCTGGGAGGCAAGCGCTGGATTATTAGCTCTGAATTTAGCCAGCGTAAGTTTTTTTATGGTTCAACTTTTTGAGACTCAATAATTGTACTCCGTGCGGTTTTTATTTTTTATCCAGTTAAATTTTGATTTTCTGATTAACTCTTTTCGACTGTATTTTTGTTACAGTTGGAAGATATCAATGCCCTGAGACTAAAATTCAAAAAAATGTATTTTGTGGAATATTTTTTTTCATGAAGCGATTGTTCCAGTCACTTCACGAAATTAAGGATATTTTTGTGTTAAAAACTCAAACATATTTTGTCAATGTTACTTTTCGTTGCTGTTCTCTTGCAGTTTTTTCAGCTAATTCAGCCGCCCTTGGAAGATTTCGATGCCCTAATTTTTTCATGGGTTAACATTTTTTTCATAAACTGATTGTTCCAGTCATTTCACGGAAGGTTATAACATTTTTTTTTATAAATGATTGCTCCAGTTTGTTTTTCTCTTTTTGTTTTCTCATACCTCAAAGAATGCTTTAAGGAGTCAAGTATCGTATCATATTATAACCTTGTTGGCCGCGATTTGAATAAAAAAAATGAAATTTTGTCACAGAAATTTTGTCATATAAAAAAACGTGTCTAAATTTTTCAATTATTCTTAGACTAAATTCAGACTGAATTTCTGATCTAATTGTTTTATTTTTTTCGACGATTTTTGGATTATGTTTGCTATTCTTGCATATTTTTGTAGTTTAACAAGCAAGTAACTTCTCTTTCACGAGCTTGAAAAAACCACCGAAAAGTTAGGAAAAAAAACAAATAAAAATTTGGGAAAAAGTTTCGAAAAACGTTTTGTTTTCATTAGTTTTTCTTCCAATTTAAATTTCATTGCCAAAAAAGAATATGGTCAGAATTTTTGGTGCTACTTGCTTTCCGTTAAGTTTTGAAGTTTGACATTTTTAATAAATTGCTTTGTTAAAATATACGCCCATTATATCCACCTATCTATCAAAAAATATCAGAAAAAAATTAGCTTTTAAAATTTATTTATACCTTCATCATTAATCCTCTATTTGCTTTAAAAAATCCGAGAAATTTAAAGGCAACACGCGTCTATAAGTTTTCTCTCTAAATAATATTTTAGGTTACAGCCAAGAATATCGGCGAAAAGAAAGACAAGGTCAAAAAATTAGCCCGGAGCCAGTCGGACAAATTCAGAAAACAAGTGCCTCCAAAACATCAGCAGAAGTTGAGAAGCGTCGAATCGTTCCTGGAAGCCGCTTCCAAGAGCGTCGAAGGCTACTCGAAATCAGTGAGCGAAGGGCTGACTATTACGAAGAGATTCAACCAAGTGAATCATAGAACGAGGCAAGAGGCTTCCAAGTGTGAACATGTTGTAGGCACAGTAAGCCGAAGTCCGTCTAGCCTAAAGAGTCAAGATTCGTTGCAAAAGATTCTGGCAGATCTTAAGGTATGTTTTGATTATTTTCTAAGAAACAGAAAACGTGACATAAAATGTCTTGGTATTAACTGGAATGTTTCAAAATCAACCGAATTTCCAATGAAATATTTCGTAAATGAAACTGAAAAGAACATTAAATTATCTTTTTTTATTTCATCAGCTTCCAATATGAGTACAATTTTATCATGATTTTTTGCAAAAATTATTCAAATATCTGATATTTTTTCCACGCAACTTGTGATCTCATCGTAATTATATGATTTCAGTGGTGTTCTCGTTGCATATTTAATCATAGTCGACAATGGATCACTAATTTGCGCAGTGTTTAAAACTTATCTAGTGAAGAAATTGGTGAATCTTATTGATTTGAACTGCAGATACCTAACATCCATAAAATTATCAAAGTCAGGGTCAAAAATCATCCATAAAAAATCCCTAACTTTTCACTAAATCTGCTTTTACCTAAGACTTTTTTTTGCAATGAGTTGTCGATCTTCGTAAGAAACTGCCGTATAAAATTTTGTGGAAAAAAAACTTTTTGCTTGTTCACTAGGAGTCCAAGCGCAGCATGGAGAATCAGACGAAAGCGTTGAAGAATGAGCAATTTGTGGAGAGCCTAAAACGTCTGGGTCTGAAGGAACTGTCAATCATAGTCGAGAACGAGTTGAACACAGTCTTGAAGGAGAGCGACAAGTCAACCGCGTCTTGCGACAACGCTATACAGTTTTACGAGGTAGGTTGAAGTCAATTTATTGTTAACGAGCTCAATGATTGGCTAGCATGCGTTCGTTTTACTGAACCAGCAAGATACAAAAATGGGCATTGCTTTTTTTCCCACCTTGTGAAGCTTTTAGAAAATTGATTACCATAGCGATTAACGGGGTATTGCAAACGGGTTCTTAATTTTTTTGTACAAAAATTATTGCATTCGGACGTGAGAAAATTTCAAATTGCTCTATAATAAACTCAAATCTAATATCTGAGGGGTTTAAAGTGTTTTGATACAAGATCGACTTGAAGTGACCTTTCTGTCGTTTGAAAACTATTGTCTAATTAAATTACAGGGTTGTGCCGAGGATTGGAAGCTGTTATATTCGTCCATGTCTGGTTTTGAGGAGAAAATGGCGGGCATGAAAAATAAACTGATTGAGTCGCCTTTCCACTCATTGGGTGACGAGGATTTACGAGCAGAGATATGCAAAACTGAGGTGAGCTAGAAATTGAAGCAATTTTGTTTACACAAATTCAAGGCTTGTCTACATTATAATTGACCTTCTAATCATTATAATTGACCTTTCTACATAAACTTACCCACCAAAGAAAGACCTTATCTAATGATCATCAGGGGCGGATCCAAGATTTTCTCAAGGGGTAGGGGAATATTCGAAAAATATTCTGGAAAGACAAGATAGATTTTCCGAGCTCTCCAAAACACTGGAAAAAACTTGTGGGCCGCAGACAAATTTTTGAACCGCAGACAAATTCGCGGAGGAACGTGCCAAATAAAAAAAAATTTCGAGAAATTTTGGTCGTTTTTGACCAAAAAACAACGGTGAGTGAACAGAAGTTTTTGAGCCGAATATTCTGATGGCTATTGATGTAAAGCGAGAACAACAGTTTTGTCAAAGTTAATTGTTTTTTTTTCGTAAAAAGGGGAAGTTTTGACAAATCTTGTCTCGTTTCAGGAGTTCACTCAGCTATCTAGCAGAGACAAAGAATCGATTGATCAATTGAAAATGGAAGGATCGAAGCTGTGTCAGAAACTAGGAGAGAACGGATTCTCACACCAGATCAGAAGAGAGATGCAGTCAATCGACACACAATATCAAAAGTTAGAGTCATTATAATGTGGTTTCAGGCCAGTTATTTTGAGTTTTTCTTAGCTCTGCTTGTATACTACTATGATCATAACTGCCAAATTTTCTGCGCTGCAGGCTGTTTCTGGAAGATGATGCAGTTTTGAGCATTTGTTGGAAGGTTTCGACAAAAATCGCGTTTTTTCGGCACTTATTACCCCCTCAAAGATAGTACATTCTGGCGCCCAAGGCGCCTCTAGAAAAAATTTAGACTTCATCAGTTTAAAAAGACTATGGTAAGATATGACCAAATAGGGAGCTTTTAGAAAATTTTAGAAATAGGGAGCTTTTTAAGAAATTCTACTTTCTGAGTTCAATAATCAAAAGATATTTTCCCTACGATAATTTCTGCTAAGTTTTTAGAATTTTCCAAGTTGGCCGATTTTAAATTTTGAGTTCGCGCTTTTTGTGAAGTTCAGTACGAAGAAAATTACACTTATTCAGGTCGTGAGAATTTTTAGTTATAAAGTCTTAAAACTTGTGCGCGCTCAAATTTGATTGGTTATAGCTTAATTTTTTATTGTTCCGACTTTCGATACGAAAGTAACGGAATATTTGTACTCGGGGTGGGTTTTTTGTTCTTCAGACAAACTTCGACTTTTTAACTAACCATTTTTGACGAAATTTTTTTTACATCATTCAAAAGGTATTGTTGCCCTGAGCTCAAATTTCATCTGTGATCATTTTTCGTAAAGTTATGAGGATTTAAAGATTGCAATTTTGGCCAATTTGGGACAATTAACGCGCGATATATTTCGCGCTATTAACGCGTAAGCGAGATTTAATTCGTCTTAGAAATCGTTCCAAATTGGTTTAACGAAGCTTATTTGCCATAAATCATTTTTTACTAGCAGCGAAATCTATCCTTTTGTACTTTATATGGCGTGTGGGGGGATGATTTTCATAAAAAATTTCAATTTGTTTTGAAAATGGAAGGATCGTTATTCCTGCTCCATAAACCTAAATAGGCAGTCGCAAGATTCAGGGCTTCGCCCTGATACGAGAAGTCTTGTTTATTTTTAATTCCGATAACAAAAGTGCAGTTGCTGTCAATAAACGTTAATTATTTTTAATTTCAGTAATAATAGCAGAATAAAATCATTACCTATGACCCACTTTTCTCTAATTGGTTAGTTTTCTGAAAAAAAAGTGGCAATCATAAAAGTTTCATGAAAATCGAAGAGCTTCATTGTGATTGATTTTGCGATTTTCGTTTTAACTTTTTGTTTCGCATAAAACGTGATTCGCTTCAAGTTATGTCGAAGTACATTTTATTGGCTTAGTGATCTAATTTTGGGTCGCTTCAAGGGAAAAACACAATTTCTATACTCCCTTTTGGATAGCAAAAAATGGCAAAAGTCTTAGAATAAAATTTATAGTTCAAAGTTTTTCATGACAACAGTTTTTTTTGTTCTACTGAATTTTACCCAAGTTTTTTTCGGCTCAGTTGCCGCTAGATGATTACCTTTGAATTTTCCTTAATTGCCCTCGTTTGTTTTTCTGGGCGTGTTTTCAGTACATAGAACATTCTTCCAGTCAACATCTTGAAGTTTAATTAGTGGTTTTTCGATTTTTTTTTTGTTTTTTTCTGGACTAATTGGTTTTATTTTCTTGTCTGCTAGCTTGCAATGCTATTTTTGTGTGGTATCGAAAGTTGTGTGGTTTCGTAAAGGTCACAAAAACGTGATGATCAACCTCTAGTTGTTTTGATGAAAAAAGTTCCAATCCTATTGTTCTTGAAATTCAAAGAGATTTATTTTTCTCTGTTTTCTTCTTTCGCTCATGACTTATGTTCTAATTTTTCAGTGAACTAAGGTGTTATTTTTGGCAAAATGTTTCAATTTTTTCTTGATATTTTAGTGGATATTTTCAATCAAAGTTTTCGTTGACAAAGTTTTTTTCAAACACGTTACTGGGCAGTACGAATTTGTAGGGCTACGCCCTGATACGAGCATTTTTTGTTGTATAAAAATGACTCGTCGTACATCCGTTGGTAATTCAGAGTAACTGAAACTAATCTTAACATAAAATTTTTGTGTCATAATTACTTATCGCATTCGTTTCTGTGAATCATCTTCTGTGAATCATCTTTGTCAGTGGTTTTTGTGCAGTTTTCATTTGTAATGGATTCCATGGACAAGTAAAGACATTGGAATCAGTCGTAATGGAAATCAGAGACGAGAACTCACTATGTTGTAATTAGCTGCAATACTGAACTTGGGGTTGTTATGATGATTGGTTTTTTTGCAGCTTCCGAGAAATGCTGTCACAACTGTCGACTGAAGTGACGGGTGAAATTGAGAGGCGAGAGGAGTTCAGAGGTCACATGGGCCAAGTGGAGACCCAATTGGAAGGAGTGCATGACCAAGTGAAGAACAAGCTTCTGTTCACACTCGACCAGAACAGTGTGGCCGCCAAAGTTGAAGAACTTAAAGTAAGGCAGATTTTTGTGAGGTTTTTGAACAGTTTTTCCTATTGTTTTGTTCGTATCCATATGTCCTCAGTAAATTCAACATCTCAAAACAAAGTAACGAAAATAAAATGATGTTTGCGAGTATGATAGTTGGGTTACTAAACAAAAGAAGAAAGATTTGGGTTACTAAACTAAGTAAGAAAGATTTTAGGGACCCACATTTTAGGGACCCACTATCGTACTTGTACATTGTGTTTTCGAAACTATTTTCCGGTCGTTTTTTTTTTCAGTTTCCTTCAAATCTCAATTGAGTTTCCATAAATTACTGCAGCATTTTTTTTACAAGCTGTCTTTAGATCAAAGTCTACCATAAATTGTAGCCACCCCTTGTTTGTTTAGAATGCAAGCAGAGAAATGGACGACTTGTTCAGTCCAATCAAAATTGAGTACCTCAAACGGGAGGATTTGTGTGGCCAGAACAAATCCAAAGTAGATGTGGAAACGAAGTCGATTTATGACAACCTCCAGAGTTCTTTAGTAGCACTGAACGACAAGATAGCTGCTCAGATCAAATTATCAGGCAAGCTTTATTTGGCTTATTTGCGTTTCAGTTAACTGCCGATAGATCTTAACCTTGCCCTTGCAGTTGAAAATTTTAGATATACATCATTTACTGAAAAAAACAAAGCTTGTGCAATCTCTGATTTTCATTATTCTAAGCTTGGCTTAAATAGGTCTTGAAGGCAAAGTGCTTGCCAAAAAAATGCATAAATGAAATTTATATTACCATCAAACGAGCTCTTGAACTCTTTACAGACATCTCTTATAGTGTCCCTGATCAAAAACTAAATTTTTTTAATGTAATTCTTCTGAACTGCGTAATGTTGCCTTAAGATGCGACCACGAATAAACTCGGCCTCGAACTACTGACCTATAGACTGGGAGGCGGGTACCTGTACCACCACAATATCGCTCACTAAAAGCGATTTATCTTATTTTGACAAATAAAATACATCATAACTTTTTTAAGTGTAATGTTGATACGTACATCATAGCAATTCAACCTGTAATGCTAATACATTTGTTTTTTTTTGGTAGATATCTATCGGGAGAAGTTGCGCAAGTTCTACACGAGGTATTCAGAGTTGGAGAGAGAAATGAGTTCGTTCTCCGAGGAGTTGCGTCAGAGTGTCGCTCCTCCTGCTGCCGCACAGGAAGAGGATGAGTCTCTGGATGTGGTGGAGAAACAGCTGGCTACTCTGGAGGTATGATCACGCAGTTTTCCAGAAGTTTCTAGAACTTAATTGGGAAGATCTAAAGTTTTTGTTAGGGATCCTTTCACCCCAATGTATGCTATTTTTGAGCGAGAAGCCTGCAAAAACAGCAATTTTTTGTCAGACCTTCCATTAGTTGCTCAAAGCGACGGTGTTTTTGTTCAGTTTTGCAGAAGTTTGCATGCTTGCAAAAAATTTATCAGAAAAAAAAGAAAAACAGTCGGTAATTTTTTGACAAGCCACCTATCACTCCCCTCCCCCCTCGAGAAAAAATTTTAGATCCGTCTCTGATTCCAATGATTCTCAATAGTTTGATTTTGAGCTGATTTCATTCCATTAATTTACTTCTAATGGGGCGGCGAGTTTAAATTGTTTTGTAATATTTCAGACAAAGGTGAGCTCATGTTTTGAGTTGGATCAATAATTCATACATTAATTTTCCTATTGCGGACTAGCAATCCTTAGTTTAAACGAAACGTTACTTTTGAGTTTTTCATGAATTGAAAACTTTGAGCAGCATATGACTGATTTTAGATTATATGCGCAGCGTTTGACTTTAAAGTTGCGTGTTATTTTCTAGACTAAACTGATTTTGGTAAGTTAAATGGAGGTATTTAACCTAGTTAATATCATTTTTGTGAGCGAAAACTGTTAACTAAATAATGGTTGTCTGAAACTTTGTTGATTGTTGGAATGTTCTAGAATCTTCTGGTACGTCAGCAGGAACTGCAGTCGGCCGTTGACAGCTTGATGCAAATGGCGTCAGATGAAATTTCTCCGTTCCTAAATGGAACCGGGAAAACGAACTTGAACGAGAAAATGACTAAGTTGAAGTTTGATGCGAATTCGCTGAGAAACGAAGTCAACTCCAAGTAAATCTTTGTTTCTGTTTGTGACAGTAGCTATAGATTAGTTGTATAGCCACCAGCGGATTTAGGGGGCGGGGGAACCCCCCTTAGGGATTCGTCCCTCTGCCGACCCAAAGGGTATCCTTTTGTACTATTTTGAAATATCCCTTTTTGGCTGACTGACCCTAAAATTTTTCTAAAAGCGCCTTTGGCGCCAATATATACTAATTTTGAGGGGGGAACGCTCGCCGAAAAAAACGCGATTTTTTGGTTAAAACTTTCCAAAAAGTGTCTATAAACGCCTTTTTGGCCTGTTTTTTCGCAAATTTGCCGCCTGCGGCACAGAAAATTTGGTCAAAATAGGGTCTTTCTAGTGATTTGGGAGAGCTCAGAAAATCAATTTGGTCAACCTAAAAAGAAAAAGTTCGACAAAATTTTCGAAATTTTTTTGAAAATCCGCCCCCTCCCTCGAAAAAATCCTAGATCCGCCCCTGTCCATAGCCATGGCTTTTTGTCTTTTTTGGTACTTTTTAATCATACTAATCAATTAGATTTTTAAAAAATTTGGTTTTCGTTTTTGGAAAATAAATCGATTAACTGCGTCGAAAGTTGACAATTTGCCATAAAATTCTAGTTGATTGAGTTTTTTTTCAACAGACGGTTTCTTTCATTTCAGAATATCCAACCTGCGTGTGTCACAGCAGTCATGGAAAAAGTATCTGAATTGGCTCAAACAGACGAATGAGTCGATTAACATTCTCAGAACAGAACTGGACAATATGGACTGGAATGTTTTCACGCTAGAAGGCTTCGAAGACAACAAGCAGACGTTGGAGGTAATGGCGTGGTGTGTTTTCTAGTTTTTGACAACTAGAAAATTATAACTTACTTTTGTTGCTCTAAAAGAAATTTAAATTGTATCGAAACAAAAAACCGAAGATTGTAATTTTGTCTCACAGCTGTAATTTTGAAAAGATTGTGACATTTCTGGAAATAGTGTAAACAAGTCCAAAAAGGTCTTATGCCTTTTTCGAACAAGTTTTTGTTGATTTAATAGAAACAACGGCAGAAACTGAAAAGTTTGGAAAGTGATGTTTCCAATGCAAACTGCTCCGATGAGCTTATCGAGAAATTAACCAACGAGGATCTGAAGAATTCGATTCAGAAGCAGATTAACAAGATCAAAGGACAGTTCCAGAAGTAAGTTTTAAAACTTCTCTGAATTTCTATTTTAAATTTTCAGTACTAGCTAGATCATTGACTTCAGTAGAATTTTAGAGCACTTGTTGGCTCGGTGGTAAAAATAGCTCCGCTCATTGAGCTTGTCATTTTATAGAAAGACATTGGCCTGAACTGAATTTTTTTGAGCTAATTAATAAAGTTTTCATTCAATTTTCTTTCATTTGAGAAATATTTTAAGACTGCAAAATTCAATCGAGGAAAAACAGTCAGACATCAAGAATGAAGAGGGAAGCCGCACTAAATTCCTCGCCGACGTGTTCCGCGCCTGTGATTGGATAGAAGACAGCCAATCACAGTTGGCCAACGAATTGAATGCTGCTGGAAACCTCAAGGAAAAGATCAAAACCTTAAAAGTAATTTTTCCGCAGTTTTTTTTTATAAGTTCTTGGGATAAGACTGTTGGTTTATAACCAAAATTCTTGATTTGAAATCCAAATTGCTGGACGTTTTTGGATGTCTTGAAAATTTTAATGGGAGCAACTTTTCAATTTGAAGCATTGAACAGGTTTTGAGAAAAGCTTAAGCTTGTTTTAGGTGATCTGGCCTTTTAATTATTATTTTTGTCGTGAATTTCTGATTGGGAATTGAATTTTGTGAAGTTTTTTGACAATAATTGAGGCTCTGGATGATTTCAGGGATGTTTGCGAGACTTGAAGACTAGAAGTGGCCAGATTGACAAACTATACTCGTATTGGGAGAAGCACTGTCAGTCTGTGAATTGTAAAGTACCCGAGCCTCTCTTCAGTAAAAATGCGGACTTCAGGGAGTCGGAAAATAAATTCAGAGGCTACCTCGAAAAGGAGATTGACAGGATGAGTGAAAGCGAGTCCAAAGTGAACAGGTAAATCACTGCACAAGTATTCACGACATAGTTTTCAAAAGTATCAGATTAATTGAAGCTAAATCGGCAGGTATGTTTATATTCAAGAGCTTTCTGAAAAAAAAATGGAAAAAAAATTATTCAGATAAGAGCATTTATCCACTCGGAAAGGACCAATGTACTAGCATCTCAGCTCTTTACGAAAAACTACTGTTCACTACTTGAGTAAGCAACACACGTTTTTTTGGAGTTATTTTACTGGATTTTCTGATGTTTACATTCGCGAGCGTAGTGTATCATTATGAACCTTTTTTTTCCAAGCTAACTCTCAAAAAAAAGTGCTCATTTAGTGGCACTTTTGCTTTAATCACAATCTGTAGCTTACGAAATTTCATAGAATCTGTTTGTCTGCTTTATTTGTGGCTAGTTTTTAGGGCGTGAGATTCTTCATCTCTAGGTCGCAAGTTCGAATCCTTCGCGTGATAGAATCTTTTCTACTAATTCCAGGCGTATTTCTACTTTTTTTTATTTCACTTCATAGAGCTGTATTTTTTGTCGTGTTCTTGCTAGTGTTTGCGAAGCGCAGCTTCGCCTGTGTGAAATAATTAAAATTTGTTTCAAAAACACTTTTTCCATCGGCAACCACCATAGTTTCAAAAGAAATAAAAAATTTGTAGTTTTTTTTGGAAAATAGTTTTTCATTTGTGTTGTAGAACAATTTTATGGCCAAAGAAGCGCTGAGGGATTTTAGTTGAAGTTTTCCTTATAGAAAAATCAAGTTTTCTGAGCCTAAGTGTCCATTTTTTATATAACAAACGTTACTCGATCGTGCTACTCGCTCGAACTTAGACTAAATCTCAAAAACTTGAAACCAGTTTTTCTCGACACTGGGACAGCATTTTGAAATTTTTTCAAATGTTCTTCGAATCTTGACTGAAAGGGCTTTAATATGATAATATATCACTCGACGCAATCCGATTATTATTTCTTGTACTTGATTTTGCTCGGAAAAAAAACTAGAAAAAAACACCCGAATACAAAGTTCCTCCCCATTTTCAATGGTCGGAATAAAAGCGAAATTGATTTTCTAGCCTTGAGTAAACGTGTATTTTTTCAGTATCCGAGAAAGATTAGACGATATCGGCGAAAAACTTCTGGCTCTGGATGGAGATCTAGCTGCGGCAGAGGAGCAGAAGTTCGACCAGAACTGTCGCGAAGACTTGAATCAGAAGCTCGTCCAAGTTCAGGTTGGTTTTCAAAACGAAACATATCTGGAAAACAATGCGGGAGTATTATTAGTAAATCAGAAGTCATTATTCAAAACTCTGAAAAAAATGGCGCATCTGTAGTTGTGAAACTTGCTAGCAATCTTATTGTTGCTGGTTCGAATTTTGTTTGTGTGTCATAATTTGCGAGGTTAGCTCTTGCAAATAAGCTATAGCTTAATTAATCTTAAAAATTAACTTTCGGCTTAGGCCTCTGGCCGCTTGCTGAAATAATGCAACAATTTAAGAGTTGTGGTCAATAAATCGGCTTGCAGTGGTTCGTCTAAAATTTTCTGCCTGTCGAGTTTTTGTCGCAAGATTAGCTCCCAACATGTGCATATATTTTAAGGAACTGGATTCGAGCGTGATTCAACTAGAGAAAGATGTGAGTAATGTTTTGGCTGAGTTGGAGACTGAGAAGGTTCTCAATTCTACTTTCGCAAGCGAGATGCAACAACTGCAGGCCAAAGTAGTCAGCGCTCGCAACCAGATCGACTGGCTTACAAGGTAAGTTTTGTACAGATGTGCCATCGTGTATTTGGAATTCTGGCGTGTATTTGGAGTTCTGGCCTTATTTTTGCCAATAAACTCAAATCTTGAAAGATTCGGTTTTTTCGCTTATTTTTGGTGTATTTGGAATAGAAACTTGCCTTATTCCTGACAATAAAAGCAAATCTTGAAAAATTCGTTTTTTTTGTAAGGTTTATGTTTATATTTATTAGTGCACGAGAAAATGATAACCAATCAACAATTTTTGGTAACGAGATTTTTACAATTTTTGGTAACGAGGTTTTGAGAGTTTATATTCCATTTATGCAGTAAAATTTAACTACCATTTATTGTGAAGATTATAAGTTTAAGCTAACAAATAGTGCAATCTCGGGAAGCTTCTGTAAGATTTCACTTGGTTTTTCGAATATACTGAGTTTTTCGTTTGTCTTTTATCACGTGTAACTTATCAGCCAGGTTAAATTTTCGAAAAAATTTTTTTTTAGAGCAATAGGTAATTGTTATATCAATTGTTGCTTTATACGAAATATATGTTTTTAAAAATTAACTTGGTTGATAGAGAACAGCGAGAAAATTTTAACTTCAGAAAACTTTTGTTTGCCGTCAAAAAATTTAAATTGCCAGTCCCAAAATAGTTTAAATTGGTGTGAAAAATAATTATTTTGAACAACTTCATTTTAGTTTTAAGTTTTAATGGGCATCACTGAGACAGGTGAAATGTTTTCCAGATATGTGGAAGAATGCGGCAAGGTCTGGGACAGCCTAGAGCAGAAAGAACAATCGATTCAGAGTTTGATCTCTTGTCTTAAAGCGAAGAAGACGAACAATCTAGACACGCTTCCAAACATGGAACAGGTTCTAGAGCTGTCAAGCTTGTTGCAGGTACCATATTTTAATTGGTTTTTGTTGCGACCACTTCCGAAAATTACAATTCACTAATTCAGCTTATTCACTAATTGGAACTTAAAATAAAAAAGAGCAAAAAAAATTTGAGAAAATCACAATAATTAAGAAAATTTCGATTTCGAAAGTTTCGTACAAAATTATGCATGTCGGAACATTCTATCTGTGCTAATTTCACAGCTACGGGCTATCCTTGTTTATTTGACTAAAGTGCTATTCATGGCAATGAAAAACAAATATGTTAGTTTCCAATATAGTTCGTTCGTAAAGTAAATCGAATAATAAACTCTTCGGTATGTCGAAATGGAATTCCGACAAGGAAAAATTGTTTTGATCATAAGTTTTCTATCATAAGTTACTTAAAAATTTTTCTTCATGAAAATTGATGCTAAAATTTTACCCATTTTTTGAGTCTGTCAGTCAGCGACCACAAAAAAATAGACGTCTAAAGAATTCACTTTAGGCTGACGCTAAGAACCTCAGGAACGCCAAAATAGAGGAGTCCGCTTTGACTGCACTCGCAAGCCAGTTGTTCGACTCCTTCGAGGTTCTCAGTCCCCGATTGGACAAGAAACTGAGCGGAATCAGCCAGTCTGTGAAGGAACTGCAGACAAATAACGCCAACTACCTCGCAACTTGTCAGGTAGGAGAAAGCTGTTGCTAATATTGTAATTAATCTGTGTTCGCAGAAAAAATGATGAATTGGGTTCTAGAACTACAGGTCGCGAGGAGTTGCAGCCTAAAAATTAATGTTAAATATTTTTTCTGCAAAACTGATGTCAAAACTATTGGGGCATAAAGTTTGGACCTGCAAATGCGATTAAAAAAATCATATTTTCTCGTCTAAAATGGAAAACGCTTTCTCGATGATAATCGTGGTGGGCCTCGAACCGCCAACCTCTTGATTGACTGACTTGATATTGTTCCAGAAAGAGATTGAGAATCGGTCGAGGATGAAGAAGGGTCTTGATAAGCTTACGAGTGGGGTGGCGGAGTTGAACTCCAAACTAGATGACTTCGAAGAGTGGGATCTGCAGGTCTGGGACGAAGAGCAGCTGAGCAAGGCCATTCAGCAACTGAAGGTATCAATTAAAAACCTAATTGCTTAGTAAAATGCTGAATTTAGATTATTTATGTTATGAACAGCATGTTATTAACGGAAGTTTATAGCATTTGAACTGCCTTTTTATTTGATTTAGAAGATCCGCAGACTAGATCCGCTATTTTAATTTTTGTTCTGACTTTTTTAGTGTTTAACCTTCTTGTCTTTTGGACCATTTACATCTATTTTCTTTTTTTTCTGTTGTCTATTTTGTTTCACTGTTTTTGTTACTCAGAAAAAGACTTACTAGCAAAAAAAAATATTTTTCTAATTTCTTTGCAGATTTTTTTTGGAATTTTTATTAGTTTTTTTGCCAAGGAAGCGCCGCAAATTAAAGTTTCGAAAACTAACTTTCTTGAAGTAAACTTTTCAGAGGTCGGAACAATTAATTACCTGTGTTCCAGGAGGACAACGAGCAATTGGAAGAACTAAGTGCCTCCAAGCTCAGACTCATTTCACAGCAGCACAGTTGGTACAAGAAAGAGTCCATGCCTGAAGAGAGTGAACAGAACTGTGCTCACTTAGCCGACCAGATCAAAGTAGCGAAAGAGAGAGTGAACAAGAAGCTGCAAGAGCTGAACGGATTGCAGGATGAATCGAAAAAGTGTGACTCACTCATGAGAGAGTTGAATGCAGTCTTGGAGAAGGGACTGAAATCGGCTGAAAAGATAACTGAATCTAAGAAAAATCTGAAATCGAGCAAAGAATCGGACACACTTATTGAGAATTTGAATGTAGGTTAATAATAACCCTTTCGATAAGGATATCGCAATCGGGTACTAGACTTTTTTCCCATATTTATGTTGGTTGCAATTTTACCAACTTGGTTTGTTAAAATTTCATTGTTTATTTGTTTTTTTTCTTTTCCTTTTTTTCGGCTTGATAGCTTTCGGCCTATACTATATCGGCTTAGTGGCCTCATATTGCGTCGCTCAATATCTGTGCAAAACCGAACCGACCAATAGCTTCAATAGAATGATTTTTTACATCAATTTTTAAAAACAATTTATAAATGAAATTTTGCTTATGTAAATAAATTAACAGTTTTATTTGGGTCAATGCTAAAAAACAAAGAAAAAAACTGTTTTTTTTACAAAGTTTTTGGAATCAAAGTTTTTTTTAACCATAAGTTCTTTGACCTTAGGAGCTCAAAAATCAACTGGAATGCAACGCACTCAGCGTAATTCGAGACCTGAACAATCTCGTACCCAAAAACGGACCAAACCTGAAGCTACAGACGAAATGCAGTGAGAAACAAGCTGTTTTAAACCAACTCGTGAGTCAAATTGAGCGTGAGTCATCTGAAATACGAGAGGAGTCGGATTTATGGATGCGATACGAGGAGAGTCGGGAAGAGTTGGAGTCAATGGCTAATATGAGTGATGGTGTTGAGAAGTTGTCTAGAAAGGATGTTTCTACGGAGAAAGGGCTGGAAGGAACTATTGAAGAGTGCCAGGTATTTTTGCTTTCTGTTTTTAAGAGCTATGAGCGTAGTGAAGACTTTTTTCTCTATTTTTTTTCAAGAAAAAGTCCTAATATTTTTTGATCAACTATATGTTCAAGCGCATGTTTTGCTGCCTTATATCTAAAAAAAGGTTTGGTGTTTTAATGTTGAAGTTTATTAAGTGTAAAGGGACGAATTTGTTAAGAGTCATAAACGTAGTGAATACTTTTATGTAGTTCTTCGTGCTTTTTTGTTTTTTTTTTCTGGAAAAAGTCTAAAATTAGTGCATTCAGGCTCAAATTGATATTTTGCGGATTGACTTTTGATTTTTTTTTCAAGTGCAGTTCGTTTCCTTTGTTCAAGGGAAGGCAAACTCCACTATCGAACAAAAAATGTAAAGGCGACGAATGACGTTGTCGACTTTTGATTTCGAAAGTGGTTTTTAATTTGCAGAGTAAAAAATTTAAGTTAATTTTATCAAAAAAGTGTCACTCAGAAGTTTTTCTTGAATCTCAAAGAGCCTCAAGGCCATATATTTTTTTCTCAAAATGCAAAAATTGACGTTTTTTTTTAAAAAACAGTCAGTTTTTTTTTGTTTCCTTGCGTTCATGACTCTTTCCAAACTGACTGTTGGCTTTGATTTAAGTGCCAATTAAGAAGAAGAAGAAGAATTTATTTCTCCAAATAGTTGATAATACAAGCATCAATTTATTTAAATTATTAAGTCAAAAAAATGGAGGGGATAGACAAAAGGCGCAGTATGTGCCTACTTGACGTCTACCCGTTGAACAAATTATGATTGCAACTAAGTAATAAAGATAAATTTACATTCGAATAAATATAAGATTGTGGGGAAAAATTTATTTTTCCCCTAAAATTAAGCCCTCATTAAGGAATAATTAAATTTGGGAAGACACTTATACAGGTCGTGGTGATGATTTTTTTTATTATTAATACAGGAAAAAATTTCAAAAAAGGCTTACGCCAAATTTGAACCTTTGCGTTTTGCTTTTTGATTTCTTTTTAAGTTCAATTCAATATCTATTCCTAAAAAAAGCAATCTACACTGTCCAATCACAAAAGCGGAAACGACGCGAAAAAATGTGTACGATTTCCAGTTTCGAACTTGGATTTTCTTTCTTATATTTTCCAGCGGGAAAAATTTTACCTATTCATCCAGTTTTTTCAAATTGGGTGATCATCCAGTTTTTTCAAATTGGGTGAATTTTGTCCAAAAATTCATTCAAAGAGCTTATAGGGCATCAATTTTTTCTTCGAAAGTTCGAAGTTCAGTATTTTTCTGTTTCCTTGCGTTCATTGCTCTTTTCCAACTGTCTGTTGGCTGTTTTAATTAGTCAACTTGATGTTTTTTCTTTTCACTTGAGGTTCAATTATTTTGAGTAGTCAAAAGCTAAATTAAAGAGAAGTGACAAAAAACTTGAGTAATATTAGTAACAAGATAAAATCTCGAAATTCTCAACACGTTAATTTTTTTCAGAGCCTGCTTATTAAATTGGGTGGATTGGACAATGTTGTTGCCGCAGTGAACGACAAGTTTAGCCAAGTTGAGTCTAAACTGAAAGGCTCCAATGGAGTTGCAGAGGAGAAACTACACAAAGACGGATTAGTTGATTCTGCCAAAAGGTGTGTACCAAATTTGAGCCGTTTCACTATACCAGTCCATGATCAAGTTTAGAAAATAAATAATGAGTAAATTCAGTTATATATAAAAAAGACAGTAGTCACCAATAGTCTGTTTGCCGAAGCGAGCTTGCAAGCAAGCACGTGCCTTCTAGCGCATTGAGTGTTTGTGTAATAATACATTATGAAATGAATAGCAAATAATTTAGAAAGCAAGGGGGCTTTGAGTGTGTTTAGTTGATTAATTAGGAGTTATTTTTGTTGTCGCTGAAGTATTTTTTGTCATATCTGAGATTTTGGGTTCAATTCAGAGAACGGGTTATAAGAAGCTCATTTTTATGCGACTACGCTCAAATTTTTTGACACCCAAAGTTATGGCCGTCGGAAAAGTCCAAGTTTTGATTTTTTACCGTTTATTTTGAAAGTTTTTGATTTTCCTCGAGAACTACCTTCCCAAAGCTGAAATTTTGGGTTCAATCGAATTTAAAAGTTGCATGAAACCCTTCTGCATAAGCGGGGACGCCCTATTTTTTAACACAAAAAGCTATGATTCGCGGAAAAGTCAAATTTTTGATTTGTTTGCCGTTTTTTTGGACTTTTCTTGCTAAGTATCCTGCTAGATCTAATATCATAGGTTTAATCGAAACAATAAATTATTGAAAGCCTATTTTTATAATTGGGTCTGCTCAGTTTTTTTTTCAGTTATGGCCTTCAAGCAAGTCGTCTTTTTGAAACTTTGACAGTTTTTTGGATTTTTTTTCTACTTCACTCTAAAACTAACGTGCCAATTTTCAAGTTGAGTGTTTAATCGAGAAACCCGATTCTGAGAATCTTTTATACTTTAGCGGTCACGACGTGTTTTTTGCAGAAAAACGTTATCGATTTCGGAAAGTCAAGTTTTTGAACTTTTGACCGTTTCTTAGAAACGTTTTGAATTTTCTTCAAAACTACCGTATCAAATCTGAGATGAAAACTTTTTTTTAGGCCGACCAAAATGATTTTCCGAGTTCTCCCAAAGCACTAAAAAGGTTGAACATAAAGACCAAATATGTTTTTATCATGGCCTAACCAGTTCGCATGCCAATTTTCGTAACTTTCGGATGATGTGAACAAAATTTCACTTGTAAAGTTTTGCAGTGGGGGGAAGGAAAATGAGCGTATTTTGGCGCCAAAGGCGCCTTTAGAAAAATTTTAGGGTCCGTCAACCAAAAATGTATATCTCAAAATAGTCAAAGGGGGACCATTTGAGTCGGCAGGGGGTCGAATTCTTGAGACGGGGGGGAGAGCCCCCCCCCCCGCCAAATACGCCTCTGCACATAAGTAAGGCAGTAATTTTGCAAAACAATCTGACTGTACGTCTTACTACTCGGTACTCGTTTTCTAAACTACACCTGCTTAAATTGCAAACGACTCCCAGGGGAGGTGACAAAGACTGGGGAGAGAAGCAAATGTACATACGTACACCTGTGCATAAATATATACCTTCATACAGGGGCGGATGGTCCCCCCATTGGTACTTTTTACGAAATCCATTTTTGGTCGACCGACCCTAAAATTTTTCTAAAGGCGCCTTGGGCGCCTATATATAGTAACTTTGAGGGGGAGCGCGCGCCAAAAAAAACGCAATTTTTTTTTGTCAAAATTTTCCAAAAACGGTTTTTGACCTGTTTTTTTTCAAAAATTTGCCTGCGACGCAGAAAATTTGGCAAAAACAGCGTCTTTTTAGTTTTTAGTGGTTTAGGAGAGCTCGAAAAATCATCATAATTAATTCACAATGGATTATATTCTTTATTAAATAATAGCCTTATTAAAGTTTTAAATTGATTACGAACCATTGTCTTTTTTTGTTTAATCATTTTTTATCCATGGAACTCCAGTGCGTGTAATATATCCAACGGTATTCGTTTTTGTTTGATTGTATTCAATAGCTGTTCTAGAAGTCTCTTAGATCCTTTTTTTTCTGATATTCATATTTGTTAGGAGTGAAATGACTCATGTATTTTCAACAAATTACAAGATAAAGAATTAGTTAATTGATGAATCATTTCCTAAAGCAATTCAAGCGAAAAAGTTCGTTTTTTGACAAGAAAAAAATTTGTTCTCAAGGTCATCTGTCAGGGAGTCGTATTTCAGTGAAGAAAATTTCCCTGATTATACCCACCTTTGAGTTACATTTATTTTGGCTGAAGAGTTGATTGGGAGGTATTGCCATAAATTATAATATCATATTGAATGATATATTGGCGAATGAACTTCAGGGGGAAACTTGAAAATCCGGTGCCTCAATTTCCTGAAAATCCTTAAAGCTCGAAATCTTGCAAAAGATAATGTAAAGCTCATGATTAGACCTAGTTTTTATTCTTAAGCTCTAAAACATTTTGTGGTCCAATACTCTAAGTACTAAAGCTGTTATCATCATCCAATATGAAACAAAAATCACGAATTTTAAAAATCTGAAGGGGATGAAAAATGACTTCCCAAAGTATCTGTAAGCATTATTTTGAATTAAGGGACACTTCGGAAAATTGTTTTATCAGTTAATTTGTTGACGATAATTGTAATGAGAGATTGGCGGGCAAAATTTTGGATGATTTACTTATAGCGCGTATGCCACTGCTGCTAAACTGGTTAACAAACTGGCAGAAGAAAAACAGCGGAGATCAAAGTTTATTGAGTGTGCAGACAGAATTTTGTCGTTCATGGCCGAAATTCCTCGGGAATCGACAGATGTTTCGTCATGGAATGAAGAGAAAGCTAAGCTTCAGGTAACGGTTTTATTCCTTCATATTTGTTGGGATCTCAATTTTTGTTTTAATTCTCAAAGTTGCAACTGGGCTGCAAGCTCTTATTTTGTTAGTTTTTGATTTCAGAAATTTCAAAATATTTGTACAACTGACTAAAATTGGAAAGGTAACTTCTGTCTTGATTTAGGAAACCAACGGGCGTTTCCAGAAATGCATTCAAGAGTTCCAAACGTCCAAAACCGACATGATATCGAAGACCAAAGACACTAACATGCCACTACCGACTCAGGTCTCCAGTAAAATGACCGATGTCGAAGCCAAAATTCCATATGCACAAAAGGACATGACATCTCTTATGGACCACTGTGCGTCCATGATGAGGGTGGAGCATGGTCTGATTGAAGAGAATATCGTTCAGTGCTCTGATTGGCTGAAAATTGCAGAGGAGATAGTGGAAAAAGCTGCAGAGCGAGAGAAAGCGGTTTGTTGATTTAGTCTGTAGAAGTTAAATATTGTTGTTGTTACCATTGCGATAAGCAGGGGTGTTGCAACTTGGTACTACACTTTTTCCGGTAAATAACTTCGCGCACAGAATAGCCACAATAAGAAATTGTAAGTTTACTTATGCACCACCTATAGAGTTTGTGCGTGATTGATATTTACTTGGTATTTTGCCTACTTACTAAATAGGTTGTTTATGCAACATCTTGCCACTTGATTTTTTGGGGCTGCCGAAAAATTTTGGTCAAATTTAAGCTTATTGAGTGTCGGCTTTAGTTCTGTCGGCTTCATTATCTAATATTTGTTCTTATTCTTTCTGGCCAAATGGGATGATATTGATTAAACACTGGCAAACTATTTTGAAAGTTTCAAATTAAAATCTTCGACCTCAATTGAACAAAACTGGAAGAAAAATGTTTTTTTTTTTTGAAATTTTAATCGAAGTTTTCGAGTAGTTTGGAGTCCCTTCCACAGTGTTAATTTTTCTCCATTGTTTTTTGAGTGGCTTGCTATATTTATCAAATCAAATTTGTTTAAGGTAATTGAAATATTGAGCTTATAGACATTTTTCTTCTTACCCTTCTGCAACAACATAACTTTTCGATCAATTTTTTCGTTAACAACTTTTTTTTGGTTTTAGTCCTTTCTAGCCTAGTTTTATATCAATGCGATGGAATGCGAGGCAAGTGATGGGATTTCGGAAGCCTTAAGTATTACTTCTTTCATAATTTGGTCAAAGTTTTGAGAATTTATCATTTTGAAAAGCCAAATTTAGTTTTTTAAAACGTTTATCCTATAAACTGATTTTAGTATTTCGTCCTGTAGTTTTTTGTACTTTTTCAGTTCACTTTTAAATGGCGTAATTAATTTTTTTTTTTAATTTTATACGCCACGATTTTCTGTATGAAGAAAAAAGATTGAAATAGGTGTCCGTTTTTTCATCTGCATGGCCTCTAATTGATTTATCTTCGTCTTTTGTTGCTTGGACTTACTTTCTAGCAATTCAGCGTCATTGTTCTGGTTAAATTGAAATATATACTATTTCGATTCAAATAAATGGCACGTTGCATTTTGCTTAATATCCCTTTTTTCAATCAAAAAGTTTTTAGAGCAGATTTTTTTCATTTTTGAAATGTCATTTTCTGTCTTTGGTCGAGTTGAATTTTTGTGAAATGCGGGAAATTCAAAAAGTTTTTATGAAGCTTAATAAAAAAAACTGGCTATTTTTTCATGGCTTAACGGGCGTCTACTCAAATTTCGTCTGCGGTTTTACTGTCCGGTTAGTTTTGTCTCAATGCTGTTTAAAACTCGCCAACATGATTTTTCCGACAGATTTTATAAATCTTCGCCTCTGTGTAAATGATCGAACAAAACACTATTCATTTAAAGCATAAACTTTTTGGTTAATCTTTTTTGGTTTTCATGTTTAGAACAAAATGTTGAAGGTTATGGCATGTTAATGTTCGGAATACTGAAAGTGGAGAGGAACTTCGTATTCGGGTGTATTTTAGTTGTTTTTGTTTTTCTCATAAAATCAGATACCACTAAAACTTATTGGAAGGAGTCGACTGATATAGCATATTAAAGCTCTTTCAGTCGTGATTTGAACGAAATTTATAAAATTCCAAAAACTTTCCATAGTGTCGAGAAAACCCGTTTTGAATGTTTCGATTTTTCGTTTAATCCCAGCAAATAAAGTGACCGAACAGGCTTATAGATTTAAACTAACTATTATTTAGTTTTACTTCAGTGAATTTAGTTACTAATAATTTTTCGGCGCCTTCTTTATTATAAAAGTCTGAGAACGAATCAAAAAAATTCTGCAAAAAAAAACAGTGTTAGAGAATTTATATTTTTGTATGTTAAAAACTGTTGTCAAATGTCTCTACTTTTTAACTATCGAATTTTTAGGTTTTCTTTTAGGTTCTTTCATCACACTTTAATAAAAGACTACGCAATTTGAAAAAAGACACATCAACAGGCTATCTTTGTGTTCACGTTTTATATTTCGAAGTCAACGTCGGCATTAGAATAAAAAATAAACATCGCAATGACATGTCTTTGATTACACAAGCAAAGCTTGTGTTATAGTTTGAACTCTTTTTTAAACCTAAGTCGCAAATATTGTTGCGACGCAAATATTGTTGCGACAAAATGTGTTCATTTTGAAAGTGTTCATTTTGATCAATAACCAGCTATTAAGTACAGCCAATGCTAAGGATATAAACACAGACTATTATATTACAAATAGCACTTTAGCTTCAAGGTATCATGGATCTTTAGCGCAGAGGTAGGGAAGGTGTCCGCAACAAAATAAGAGGGTTCTAACCTGGGCATGGTCGGAGGTTTTCAATGAAATTTTTCGTATACTAGCTAAAATGCGTCTTCTCTATAAGTTGAGGCATGTTAGTTTCTTTTTTTTTTGAAATTGACTGGTACTGCTAATGCGTCATAACTGGCTTGCGTCACTTTAGAAAAAAAAACTTTAGCGTTCGTTACTTCAGAAATTTTGTAGACTCAAAGTTTTACTCATTCATTTTTCCCAGTAGCATTATCGGTCATGTTTTTGCTTGTGATGCGAAGTGCAACTTCGCCTCTGGGTCATTAACAATCTTCAACTTACTAGACTTGTATAGAACTCAAATATAGTCCTCCGCTCTTTGATAAAATCAGGCTTGAGATAATGTAAATTTAATCCGCTTGCTCTAAACTTTGTTTTTTTAACCAGAGCATATGTGTGAAATAATTTGCTTTAACCAGGGCCTTTTACAAAAGTTTTGAGGCTTTTTTGGTGTTTTTTTTAGTTCTAACTCATAATAGCTTTCGAGTCGTTGGGTATCAGGTTTTTTTAAAATTTTTCTTGCGCTGATCTTATTTTGCATTGTGCCAGCTAAAGTATGTTAGATTCATTGAAATACTTTGTGGGGTTATCTGGCTTGTTTTTGCAGCATTTTTCCAATTCAATTGTATTGTTCAACACTTATTTCAACGGTGAATGTATTTCAATCTCTCTTATAGCAATCCTGTGTTTCAGTCGCTCGAAGAAAGTGTCGAGAAAGAGAAGAGTCGCATAGCAAGTATGAAGTTCTCCCTGCGTGCGCTCTCAGACGGGGGAACCAGCTCAAATGTGATTGGTCAATTATCGGAATCGATTGACCAATTAGAAGCGAGGTTGAAAGGAGTTGAAGAAAAGTGTAGAGAGTCATTGAGGAAGCTTGGTGAGATAATTAGCACTCAACCAGATGTGAAATAATCGATTTCATTCTTTTTTGTGAATCCTGATTGTTGAGTTGCTTTTGATTTTGTGTACTTGATTTTGAGTTTTATTTGGTATCAAATTTTTAGCAGTTGGTGTTATAGGTGAACACATCTTCATCAAAGCGTTCATTTTCATCCGCTCATGTTAGCAGCACTTCATTTTGCAAACAATGTTGCGAGATCGCTCCTCCTCCGCCCTCCTCTGAGTCCCTTGCCAATCATCATTCTCTTTCCTTCTAAATCTTGTCCATTGAGCTAAAAAGAACTCGAACCACTTGTCATTAGAACTTGAACTACCATATACATGTAATTTTAAAGTGGTCTTTTTAATTTTCGTTTAGACACAACTGGTCGACTTCAAAGTGAGTTCGAGGAACTGAACCAGAGCATTGTACAATGGGTGGAGATCGGCGAAAGTATGATGGCCAATTCTGGTGGCAACAAGGCCACCGGATATGATGAGCTCTCCTCCTTTCTCAAAAATGTCAGGGTGAGTCATGATAATGATATTTCCCACCACAGCCTCCTGCTAAAACGGAAAAGAGTCGATGTTTGTGCAATAATGATATTTGTGCAATAGTGTAATGATGAAGACGTGAGGGTTTGCGAACTTTTCCGTTTTATTTTCATTTTCTTTGCCTTTGTTATTGACATGCAATTTTGGAAATTGGATCAAATAAACAACCCCCCTAAATAGACTACAAATAAACAACCCCCCTAAATAGACTAAGTGTCTCAACGAAATCTTAGGCCTAAGGCTCGATACCCATAGTAAATTAGACATATCGGGCAACATTTTTCCTCAAAATATAACTGGAAAAACAAAAATCTTAAGTAAAAACAAGTTTTCGGGGCTTAAGTAAAAGTTTCACGGCTTATCCTCATGCTAATAGGACTCCTCGCTCGCTTTTTGCTTGAAATAAGACTTAAATTCAAAATTTCAAACCGGTTTTTCTCGACACTGAGAAAGTTTTTTTGGAATCACGACTAAGACGGCTTTATTTTGCTTCAACTTTCAACTTATTCCGATGTTAATTTGTGGTACCTGATTTTTCATGGAAAACAAAAACATAAAAAATATCCTCCCCATTTTCAATTATGTGAAATTGCTAAATAAATTCTGTTTCAATTTAGGTATTTTTAAGTCTTTTCGCTCCATTGTGGTAGATCATAAAGTTTAAAGGGGCATATTTAACTTGCCGGCTATAGTCGCGACCTCTTCTTCGGTGCAGATGTACACCGTTTTGACATCGTTAATTGACCTCAAAAATGAACTCATTTTGACCTCAAAAAAGTGTTGCAAAGTGCTGTGCTTCTTCTAGCACATACCATATAAAGGAGTCTGGAAATACGATAAACTGAAACCAAAACTGAAACTGTAACTAATAATAACAGTTTTTGAAAACTGTTTCTGAAAACAATTAAATTCAAGATTTCTATCTACTGGAAAAAATTAGTTGTTCACCCTGTTAGCGGTGCTGAAAGAAATATAAATTGCATTATAAAAAATGAAACTCAAGTTTTAAAAATAAATGTGAATTGCAAAGAAACCTGATCAGAATATTTTGTGCTACTTGCACAGCAAAAAAAAACTACTTTTTTTGCAAATTGACTTCATACTTTCATGACTTTTTCGTGGTGTTGTAGGATCTTCTGGACCAAGAGGGATCTCTGGATTCGACTCTGTCTCGCATGCAGGACATTGCGGAGCAGTTGGACGACACTAAGACAGACCGCACTCTGGATTCCAGTACGGATAGACTCAAAAAGGTTTCCGAACAGCTTCGTCGCAAACAGGTACGCTTAACGAATCCTAAAAGTCTGTAGGTCTCAAGCAAATTTGCCTCAGTTATTATCTGCAAAACTAAGCAGCTCTAATATGACTGAATGCAATCAAAAAAAATTGCAATTTGTAGAAATAAGAAATATTGTACGGCTTATGACACTATTATTTACAATTAAAGCGAAGAGCAAGTTAATTTTAAGCCAACTTATCATATATAAACGAAAAATTTGAACCAAAGCTTCGATTTGTTCAGAAAGATCACCCTAAAATGTTGGCAAAAAAAGACGTCAACTAGCGGGCTCTCAAATATTTTTTATGGTAGCTGCTGTATTGCTGGCTAAGGTCAGAAATTCTGCTAGCGATCGTGGAGCAGGTGCGAGACCGTAATGCTCCTGATTAACATGTCTGCGGTTCAATTCCTATAGAAGCCAGTTTTTTATTTTCCTCGTTTTTAATTCTTTTTTCTTTGTTTCATTTTTTTGACATTTTAAGAGCTACTTTTCCCATCTGTTTTTTCTTTGCAAAGCTTTCCAAACTTTACCGTTCAGTCTTTTTTTACTCTGGCAAAAGTAGTGTAATAGTTCGACTATTCTTTTTTTCCAACCTAAGTCGCAAGTATTGGTGCCACTTTTGGGTCACCTTTGTGGTATTTGGTAGCATGTGCTTTGACATCCGATAAGAAATTAGTTAACACAGTTGATGCATTTTTGATTAATTAAATGAACCGAAAAAAAAAACAATTTATTTCAAAAAACAGTACGAAAGCTCGATTTCAGAAATTTTCCAACTCAATATATCTCTTGTTCATCATTTGGCTATATGCTTTCCAATTCATTGCAAAGTTTGTGTTTATTTATATCTGGTGCCGTTTGCTGCATAGCAGTGGTAGTTTCTTAGCATATTTAGCTGCTTTAATTGTAACTAGTGTTAGTAAATTGTTAGGGGAACGTGGCGCAGATGCGAGGACAAGGGATTCTAAATCTCTCGGTCGCAGGAGCGAATCCGCAACAGCAGAATAATAAATTTTCAAGGCTTAATTTTACCTTTTTCTATTTTATTTTATAGTGCTACTGTTTTGTCGTTTTCTCGCTAGTGTTCGGGAAGTGCAGCTTAGCCTCTGTGTTTTTAAGCGCTTTTGAGCCATTGCGATAGACCTTCTTTTAAAGAGTTTTGGTAAAATTAAACGCGTTTAGCAAATTTTTTTTCGAATTCTTTCGTCGAGGTTCAAAATTTGCCGGCTATTTTTCGCTATTTTTAAGTGTCATTTATAAAATCTATTAGAGCGCTTTTTGTGGTTTCATGAAATAATGTAGCGTTAAAACTGTTCAAGCTTAAAAATTTTTGGGACAGAAAGCTTTTTTTGTCGGCTCAGCTGTTTTTACATAAGCGAACGCTTGTAATATATTACCAGTTCACTATTTCTTAAGTGATTTTGCATAAATTAGTGCTCAAAAAATGAGTAGTTTTGCTGCATACCACTTAAGCGCTTAGCAACCATTGGTACCTTACCAGCATTTGCTTAACCCACTTGAGCGGTGGCTCCGAAGAGAGTAAGGATCTATATCGCAGTTATGAAGACCTAAGACTCCTACTTTGGGGGCCGTGGTTTCGAATCTCGAACCCGTCGAGGACACTTTTGTTTTTCTCAACTTATTTATTGTTCCAATTATTGAAAATGGGGAAGAACTTTGTATTCGGGTGTGTTGTAGTTTTTTTGTTTTACACGCAAAATCAGCTGCCACAAATAATCATCGGACAGGGTTGAGTGATATATCATATTAAAGCCCTTTCAATTGTGATTCGAACGACATTAAAAAGTTTTAAAACAATATTCAGAGTGTTGAGAAATACCGGTTTGAAATTTTTGACTTTGGTCTAATTTCGAGCTTATTAGTAAGGTAGTTAGTAATTGCAATAGCTTAATTTAAGCCGTGAAAACTTAATTTTACTCGTGTAAAGGTAGTTTTATAGCGCATTTTTGCGAAAAATTTCCGTTAAAAAAATTGAAACTCTTTTTTTTTTAAATATATTTTTTGACCCATTTTACTATGACTCAAATATGCCTAAATTCTACTTTTTGTTCAGATTTTTTTTATCACAACATGCAGAAAAAACGGCACCGACTTGGGAAAATGTTTTTGTATTTTTTTAAGACTGTGGTCGGAACATTCTGTGCTACTTGCACAGTAACCGGCTATTCTTGTTTATTTTTTTTTTATTTTAATGCTTTCGTTTGCCATTTTTGGCTGTGTTCGTTAAGTGCAGCCTGTGTGTGTGTTGTTCCGATCGCCCAAGGCGAGGAGGAACTTTAGATTTGGGTGATGGAAGTCACATTTGAGATGTTATTGTGAGCGAACAAGTAAAAAGGCTAACACATAGTGTTTCTGTATTTAAACAAGGATGGCTTTTTACTGTGCACGTAACACAGAATGTTCCGACTATAGACTTCAAAAAACACACAAAAAAGTTTTTCAAATCATAGTCGTTTTTTTTTGCGTGGTGTGACAAAAGGCTCTGAACAAAAATCTAAAACTTAGACATATTAGACGTTCATAGTAAAATAGGCAATTGTAATTCTACAACAGTCTTCACGAGAAATTTGTCTAGAAAAACAATTTGACTCAAAAAAGTTCAAATAGAATTATTGAAATTTTTGATTCCCAAAATAACGTTAAAAAGTTGCCAAACGAATTTTACCCGAGTAATTCTAAAATGAAGCATAAATAGGTCATTGCGAACGGCTTTTATTAAGCATAACAAAGCCTGCTCGCTCGCTTTGTACGTATACTCGAAAATTAGACTAAAAATCGAAAATTTTAAACTTGAAAATTTTAATTTTTAATCGAAAGTTTTTTTCTCAATGCTGGTACTTTTTTTGAAATTTTTGTAATGCCGTTCGAATTACAACTGCAACAGTTTTAATATGATATATCACTCGACACATTCCGATAATTATTTGTGGTACCTGATTTTGCGTTAAAAACAAAAACACTAAAACGCACCCGAATACGAAGTTCCTCTCCATTTTTAATGGGCGGACCAATTAGCTCTTATGGCTCTAAATTAGTTCTAACTAGCTGGCAACACGTCGCGAATGTTTCACCCATTATCACCATGTACTCGATGAGTCTACTTTTTCTCAAAAAATATGATTGAACGTTAAAGTTTTCTGTTGTAATCTTTCTTCTTTTTCAAGCGCTTTAAATTATTTTCCAATAAGCGACAACGTATGCAATATGGATATAGTTTTTCATTCATTTTTAAAGACTATTCATGCCTTTATGTATCGCTAGAGTTGCGAAGCTTCACTTGGCCTGTTTTAAAATCATTGAATTCTTCATTTTGTTTTCAATGTTGGATCTCATTGGTGAAAAAAATACGTGATTCGTAATTTTCGACACGCTCTCGAAATTATTTACAGAACAATGAATAAAATTTGTAATGATGATTTAGGATGAGCAGGGGGTGATTTTGGAGGAGTGGGTTGATGTGGGCCATGGGATGAAGAGACTGGAGGCGTGGGTGGAGCAGACCCAAAAGACACTGGAGAGACCCGAGGAACATGTGAATGTGAGAGACCAGCTGCAGAAGAAAGGAGTAAGTCAGTTCTGCGATGACTTTGAATGATTCTTAAAGCCTTAAGAGAATAGTCAGCCAGCTCAACTTTGAAAACGTTTTCACTTTAAGAAATACTTTTTTGGTTTACTGAACACTTTTTTCACAATTTTCGGTTTACGGATCAGGTAATTTCATTTTCGGTGTACTGATCTGGTCTGCCCGTTTTCGAGTTGCTGATATATCGGTTTACTGACCGGCCTCCCTTTTTTCTATTCATTGCCTTTTCAGGAGTTGATTGCCGAGATAGAGGGTAAGAAGACAGAAGCTACTGAGTTGGTGAACAGGAAAAAGAAAGTGTCCCAGGCACTGGGAGAGAAACAGACCACGGCATCCGGAACCTCTGGGCTGATTGAGGAGGAGAGCTTATTCGCTGACCAGGTCAGTTTTAGAAGAATCTTTTTTGCAACCAAATTCGGGAATAGCTTTTCTGGACGCTTTTTCCAAGAGCATTCAAATTTAAAAGGTTTTGAAATCAAGTGCGTTGATAATAATCAGGGACATCCCTGAACACAAATGAGGTTTCCCATACAAAGCTGAACAGTTCGTATGTTGGTGCTTTCTTTCATCGATAAAAGAGTCACAAATAGTCATTATTTATAGGAGTTTGAGAAAATACTCCTAAATTTGAAGAATCTTTAAAAAATAAATGACTTTTCCAAAAACATGCAACGTTTTTTTTAAAATCATGCCTGAACACATTTGTGAAAATTAAGCGCTCATTTCCTTTTGCTATTTAATGTAACCTTTCTCAATGTAGTATCTAGTTGCGCAAAAATGGCCCCCTATAATGGGCCAATCAATTGGTTAAGCATAAATGTTTAGTGTCGCTTGTAACGAGTCCCCTCGATTCGCAATAGGGTGAAAAATTAATAACGAAATCCGACAAAATTTATCATTTTTGTTTCAGCTGTCCATGTTGGAACACGAGGCCAAAGAACAGGAAAGTGTGTTGCGAGAATCCGTCAAGATTCAGGACGCTTACGATAGAGACGTCGACAGACTGAAGGCACTCATTGACGATGCCCAGAAGCAGATCAATGCTAACTCCGTCAAACCGAAAAACATAGATGCTCTCAAGAAACAAATAGCGGAACACAAGGTGCTTGCTTAAAACCTTTTATTCGACGCTTTTCGCTGCAGTCATTTTTTTTACAGGATATATCAAAAGTAGACGCTCACTGAAGCCAATTTCAAGTTGGTGAAGACCCTTTTTGGGAGAGGAAGGCATCTTATGGATGGATATGAGTTCGACTCGTATAGCATTTCGTTTTTTGTTTAAATCAAAAATGCCGAGCTTTCAAACTAACGGACTTTTTTATTGCTCTTAGAACTGTTTATTTTATTATTCATGATTTGCAATCATATTTTTTCTGTTAACCCTCAGAAACTTTTTCGTAATCCTTTTTTTATTTGACAGGCACTGAGAGCTGAAATTCAAAAGTACGCCAAGGAGATCTATGCCATCAACGAAAAGACTCGCAAGCTGGCAAGACTCGGAGGACGAAGACAACGGAAGAGCAACGACATGCGATCCCTCTTTCCGAAAGGACGTCCCAAAGCCGGAACTCCCTCTGACTTCTCTCCCATCATGGAGGGATCCGCTTCGCCACTTAGCCCCCATTCTTCAAGTTTCGTAGCAATCGGGAGGTCTAGGGAGGACCTCTTGATGGGATCCATGGGGTCTCTAGGACTCACAAGGTCCAGAGAAAACATCTCGAAATCCAGAGAAAGTTTATCAAAGTCGATTCGAGGGTCACGTGAGGACGTTGCACAAAGCAGTTTGACTGAACCACCTTCCAGTAACCTTTCAAAGTATACATTTTTGAATGTTGTGACGTCACGAAATTTGGAAACCATAAAAGAGCCCAGCGAACTCTCTCGAAGTACTAATGACGATTCAGCTGAAGTCCAGGAACCGGAGATCAAATTAAAAGAAAATATTATACTTGACTTGGAAATTCCTCCGAATGAACCGATTACATCATTGTCCTCTAATTCGAGTCTGTCTTCTAGTGGAAATTTTCTTTTGACATACGCAACACCTCCTTTTATGGAAACTACTCCCGTCGACTCTAGTGGATTTCAAAGTGTAACGAGTTCTCGGGATTCTAAGAGGTGTAATGTTTGGGGCCTTTCGCCTAGAGGAAAATTAACGGAAATTTCTGATGAAGAAATGAACTCAAAACCAACTGCAAATGAAAAATTAAACAATGAGAATTCTTTGCAGTTTTCTAGAGCGCCGATTCTGAAGTCAAATTTTAGTCCTCAGCCGTCGAAATCCACTCTTAACTTGCGTAGAGAGTCTGTCATTGGAGACTTCACGTCTGGAAACGCGCATCAAGAAACGCCGGGAAAATCGACCTCAGTTATTGGCCCAAAATTAACTAGATCAGCAGAATCGGAAAAATACGCGAAAAACTCAAATGAAAAATTTTCTTCATCTTTACCGCGTTGAAATAATACTTAACATCGCGAACAGTTTAGAAATCTCAACTAATTTTAAAATTATTCGATTGTATTTATGTCCTCAAAATTGTAAAAAGCTTTCATTTTGTAAATATTTCATGGAAATTAATCAACCCGATAATTTAAATTAGAATCGTCTTGAAGTTGTTTAACAACTGTATATGCTGCTTGTTCGATTGGATGAACGAGTTTTGATTTAGTACCCACCCTTAAATATTGATGCTCAATGTCTCTTTCCAATGCGACGTCAACGCGTACAGCAAAATGATTTTTCTCTAACACAGTACTGATTTAAATTAACCGGACAAAGCGAACACCAATGGAAACTTCAAACGCATTTTTCTCAAATTGGGTTAAGATTAGACAAAAAAGAACAAGAGTTGCTTAAATTTTTCTTGGTGCCATTCATTTTGTTAGATTCGGAACCAAAATTGTACCCCAAAAATGGGTTATTTTGGCTTTTTTTTAGTTTATCATGAATTACGCTAAAACTACCAAATTAATTATTGACAAAATTTTATAAAAAGAAGCCTCTTAAACAGCTCAAAAAGTTTCTAGAAAAGTAACATCTCCAAAAATCCGTATAAAAGAATATATTTTTTCATGATATCCAAAAATTGTCAATTTTACCAAATAAAATTAAAAAATTATTACCCAAAAACAAAATTTACACTTTCTGCTTAAATTTTTGAAGATCTACACTTGATAGAACTTTGTTAGGCTGTGTTGTAAGAGGCTTCTTTTGATCAAATTTTGTCATCAATTATTTTGGTAGTTTTAGCGTAATTTTTGAAAAAATATAAAAAGCCAAAATAACCCATTTTTGGGATACAATTTTAGTTCGGAATCTAACAAAATGAATGGCACCATGAAAAAGTTAAGCAACTCTTTTTCTCTTATTTTTTCTCTTATCTTAACCCAATTTGGAAAAAAACGCGTTTGAATTTTCCAATGTCGATAGTCAAAATAAATGAGCACTATTCTTAGGAGCTGAAACAGATTTGATAGATATAAGGAAAGTTTTAAAGTCGAAACGTAGAGAAACCACTAATTTACAACTTTTTGTCAATTATACGTGCCTCAAAATTTGAATCTGATTTTGAAATGGTAATTATTGCTATTCAAAATCAATACAGTTCATCGATGATGCTATTTGAGGTTAAATCATCAGCGCCAGTCTAAAGTGTGATTTTCTTCACTTTTCAAGCCGATTTTGAATTCTAAGAACGTTTTTTTTGTGCATTCGTATCGTTTGATTCGTGAAACTTCCCTGAACGCAGCTGGGTTCGGAAATTTTAATGTTATGTCGCGTTGAAAGGTTGAACGAATTAAGCAGCAATTACATGATATATTTAATAGAATGCTTGTAATAACGAAATGATATGTCCATCTCGTCGGTTTTCGGAAAGCAATCTCGCCAAATTTTCATAAAAAAGAATGAAAAAGTATTGCAAGATATAAATTCTCTCCTGATGAGCAATTAAATTGCATGAAACTCGTCTAGTCTAAAATTTTGAAAGCATGGAAACGTTGCATCTACCACAGTTCTGATAGTTTTTTTTTGTTAGAAGCACAAAACACTCAAATTGAAATTTGCATATCTGAAGAATAGAAAATTGTTGAACTCAGTAAAAAACTAGCAATTAACTTCTCTTGACACAAATTGTGACCAATTACACAATGGTCAGCATTGGCTTGAACCAAACTTTAATTGCCTGGCAAATTGTGAATTTTGTGCAAATTTTGAAATGTGTGATTTGTCTAAAACTTACGTGTATAAAAATTTTAAAGCTAGTTGATGTGATTTTCACTGTTAAAACAAATATTCTACTAAGTTTTTATGCTAGTCGATACGCGCCTTCTTTGCTATTTTCTTACTAAAAAGCTTGAGGCAAAAAATACTGAGAGGCATTAGAAATTTTGATTGCTAGCATAAACATTTTTTTAAAACTAAAAGTACAATCCAACTGAATTGAAACAAAATTACGAAATCAACTATACCGTGAGAAATTTTTTTCCGGCAGTTTCTTGTGTATATTTTCACTTGGGAAAAACTTTATTGAGCAAAATCTGGTGTGCAATTCTTCCAATTATCTGATAAAGACCTGCAGAAAATTTAACAAGCATTGAACCAACGCAAAAGTTCTCATATCAGGACAAACTCTGATTTTCTTAACTTTATATAAAGTATTCGAGTTAGTTTTTGTTTAAATCTTAAAGAAACTCAAAAAACAATTTTAAAAATTTTAGGAATATTTTTTTGGCAAATTTTACCCGACACGCAATGTAAAATTCACAGTTAATTAATTTTTGGAGGTAACTAAACCAGCCAAAGGATAAGCTAACCGTAATTGTGCAGAGTATATAATCCAGCTAAAAAGTTTTATCATATGAATGAAAATGCAAAACTGCATAGCTTCTGTAAATGTTACATAATTGTTACATAACTATTATATAACTTATACGTAATTTCGGCTGCTTGATACTTTGGTTGGTTAATACCTCGGCTGGTTTATATACCACCTTAATTCTCGTTTCAATTTGAAGTTTTTGGACCTACCAGCTCGTCTTAAATTAGTTTGGAATGATTTTTGTGCCGGCTTAATATGCCGCTTAGAATGCGAGTGAATAAAAGCCCGCTTTAGTTAAACTTATAACTTATGCAAATTGGCTAAAGAAGTCACGAATATTAAACTTCATTACAAAAGTAACAGGTTGAAACTCTTTGCGTTTGAGCTCAAACTTTTTTACGCCTGTAAAACATTTTTGCTCAAAATTCTAATCTAAGCGGTCAGTTATGAGAAAAAAAATTCGTCAAAATTTCCTTATTAAAAATCAATTATCATAAGCGAAAAAAATATATTAAAAATAATCTAAGGAAGAAACAAATTTTTGATTTTTTTTCTGCAACTAAAGCAAATATTGCATGAACGTTGCTGAATGAATGCAGATCCTTAAGAATTTTGTAAGGTTCAAGATTACTTGGGATCGGTTTACAATCTGAAAAAAAGTCACCGCGCTAATCAATTTTCTCACAAAATTTCTCAATAACTACCTCTGTTGATACTTTTTTTTAAATTTCCAAACCTAATTTATCTTCTCAAAATTTGATCTCAAACTCAGAGCGAATAATTGGTTGCCAGAACTAACGTTTAAGTATTTGTTACCTTTTTATAAAATCAGACTTACGGATTAACCTTACAAATTGCACCCCCTTTTAAGGTAAAATACTGCAGTAAATTTTCTTCTCAAGCATGCATTAATGTGGTAAATTGATTTGGTTTAAAATATTCATATCACACTTAAAGTCCAGATTGTGGTTGGCTAGGCTATAAAGTCAAATAAATTGATGTTTTAATATAATTGGAATACAGCCAAAAAAGCATGCAGATCTTATCCAGGGGCACAACAGCGGTTCTCTGTAAAGAGCAGAACAGTTTGCTGCAGTTTGGTCCTTTCCCTTGTGGATAAATCGCCTAAATCATTTTTTCGATTAGCTAGATGATATTATTTGTTCTCAATTTTCTTGAACGATTACTAGCGGATAGTCAGAAAACAAAATTACTTTGCGTATCAATTGAGTTTTAAAATTTCAAGAGCCTTTTAGTGAGCTGTGCACTTCGAATTAGGATATCAAGAAAAAAAACTATCAAATAGGGCAACCCAATTTTCGCAATTAGCTAGTTTGGAATTTAAGTGTGGAAACTGGCCGTTGGAGCTGAATGTGGGTCGGCTGCCAAGTTATTTTGAATGTAAAACTACTCTGCATCATGTTAATTTGAACTTATTTATCGATCAATTATCAACTAATTATCATCATAAAGCAGTTTTTGATTGAATGTGGTCTTTAACGCGGGCAAATCTGCAAACATTTGGCGAAAAATTGGATTATAGACTATAGTTGTTTTCTTAGCAGTTTGCATATTAGAAAAATTTATCATTTTTTTGCAATTTTTTCTTCAGATTTTACATTTTAATTTTTTCCTATAGAGATCATTGGTAATAGTTGATGGTCTTCAATGATTCCTATGTATAACAAATGGCCACTATGTAAAGCTAATGATCCCTATGTATACTAAAAAATCCATATGTATAACTTATGATTCCTATGAATAAACAATGACCCATATGAATAGTTATTGATCCCTTTGTATAACTAACTAATGATCCCTATGTGTGTCCAATGATCTCTTTGTATAACTAAATTTCTTTGTGTATACCTAAAACCTCCTAAGCTTAACTATTAATCCCTATGCATAACTAATGAACCTCATGTGTACCTAGTGATTCCTATATATAACCAATAATCCCTATGTGAAACCAATGAGCCCTATGTATAATAAAAGATCCCTAGAAATAACCTATAATCCCTGTGTATGGCTTTTGATCGCTGTTAGTTTATGGTCCCAATTTATAACTATTGATCCTTATCTAATTTGCACATAGCTAGCCAATTTCTCTTCATTGTAGAACACCAAGGAACTTTTAGTTATCCCTAGGTATAGACAAGAATCTTTATCAATAACTAATAGTCCATATTTTCATCAAAAAATCCTTGTGTATCAAATAAAACAAATGTCAAAATAACTGGAAGTGATCCTAATGATTATATAATGATTCATATATAGGTCTACTGATGCCGATTTCTATCTAATGATCAGGATGCACACATAAGATCCCAATGGGAAATTTTGTACCAATGATTCATGATTCTGAATGATTTATTTTAGGGAACGAACCCAATCTAACCCAGTCAAACTTTATACCAATTGATCCCAATGTGAAGTTTTAATAGTCATGATCCCAATTGTTGTTTTGTTCCGGCTGAAAAGTTTTTTCATTGCGCTCAGCCGAGTGATTTTTTCTCTCTTACCGCTGCTACAAAATTGGGTACAATTAAGTTGTGCACATTTCTCACAGCTGTCTTGCAACTAAAGTTTTAATTATAACCTCCCACACTTTACAAAACTCTCAAGTGATCGTTTGCTTGGAAATGTTTTAGACGAAAAAATCCGGTCGTAAAAAGAATCCAGACTCGAAAAGTTCAGTTGTTATAAAGCAGTTGTTATAAAACTAGCTATCAGTATTTTTTCTTTGAGCGCAATCATTTTAGGGTAAAATGGGGTT